CTCGTAAAATATATTGTCTGATACGATCTTCATTAACAACATTCCTGCGTCAACGCAACACGTACAGTTTCAACTTATTTAAAACAGAACTACTTGAATTAGAAATGCTATAGAATTTATTTAGTAAACTCAAAATAGTTTACTTCTGGTTGTGTTCGTGTATTTCTGTTTGTGTTGTGCTTTTTTGCATGCATAAAATAACGTTTTATAAAGTTAAGTAATGGAAGCTGTTGTTTTTATGCAGTAAACGACCGTAGCATGTTGAAATTTAGCAAATATGGAAAGACGTTTGAAAACATGAGACTCTATCGTTAGAGATTAGACTTTAAATTGGTATTGGTTAAACATAGTGTGTCTTTGTCGTAGACTCGTAGTGAAACACTTTGTTACTAACCAATGCTATATCAGGGTTACGTATTAGCAACAATCAGATGGATGATAGTAACGTTAGTAACGTCAAGTTTTGAAAAAGTAACAAATGTTTAATTTATGCACGCCGCTTGATCAATTACAAACGTGTAATGAATGAGTTAGTGGTCAAGAACTACTTGTATAAGAGTTTGTATGCACTTCGTTTACCAGAAGTAATCTCAACTTGAAGGTGTAAAATGACCACGACAAACAACATTGTACATGTGCCAATTCTTCAATCCGGGACGAAAATCCTAAAATTGACACCCTACTAAAATTGTAATGTCAACATAGTTCTAACTTTCAAAAACAAAAAGAAATAACTTTTCTGAAGTTCTTGACATGTTTAGAAGGTTCACTTTAGGGGTGGTCATGGGAGGAAAAACTTTGCATAACATCAATATTTACTGAGAGAATTACTATGTACCATCTCTGGTCAAATGTAAAGTTTGCATAAATTAACCAATATTCTTGGCAGAGATTGAATTTTCATATTTTCAAAGAAAAAATCACATGAGATGAAAAAGAATATTTAACCACAGTATAGAGAACATACAGTAGAGCCACTCCATTGAATTTTTTCGTGCCACGCATATCTTATTTCGCATGTGATTACCATATTGGTAGCCAGTAAATTGCATTGTGTGACGAATAGCATTGACGATATGGCAAACGGCAGCCAGTAAACTAAGAGCCTGTTCACATGAACCCGGTAACAGGGATTCTGCGAGGCGTAAATGATTTTAAGTTATTGAAAAGAGTTGAAGCTTTAAGCACAAAATTTACAACCTTTCTTAAGCGTCATAAGTCATTTTAGTCGTAAGTTTCACTATTCCTATATTATGATTTAACTCACTCTAAGCATTCATTTTTTCAAATCGTAAATGCGCTCTGTGGGTGTTTTTTCCCTTACTGGTACCACTAATATTTTAAATTTGCCTACTGAGACTCAACTACAATGTGTTTCTTATCTTTACTACACATCTGAGATAAGCATTATCTTATTTCCAGTACATTCTTTACTCTTGTGTCTGCAGTGTTTTTTTATTATAAGTAATTATAATTCCGTGTAGTTGGAGTTTGAAAATTATTCATAATTTGCAATCGTTTATTAAATAACAAAGGTTTTTTATAATATGAAATGACTTATGCAATAATCTATTAAAAAAAAATGATACAACTGACGCGATCTACATGATACCATGTAAAGACTGTTCAATGCAATACATAGGACAAACATCAAAGAAAATCGAAACAAGACTCACAGAACGCAAAAACGCCATAAAACGACAAGATCCGAACTCATTGCCGGCAGAACATACCCACAGAAACAACCACACATTCGACTTGACAGAAACTAAAGTACTCGGGAGCACAGACTAAACACGCACGCGAATTTAAAAAAGCTTGTTCCAGTAAAGATAACGACACAATAAATAGACATATCAACATACCCATCATATACTCACAACTAAAGAAACAAAACAAAAAAAATGCAAACAACACCAAAACTACAACATTACACTCTAATAATGTTAACACCAATCATATTAACAATACACCAAAATCCATGGCAACGCATTCCACCCCATCCAATCACATTAATCCACCCGCTAATCAAATTAGACGCTCTAAGCGTCTACAAGCTAAAAGCAAGTGTAAATAGTAATTTCCTCATTCTGATGAAAGCTCGAAGCAACGAGTCGCAAGCTCAATAAAATAATTTTCAAACAATGCGGAGAAACTTTCATTTTATATGTACTAAATGCCTGGATTACCAATTTTCAAACTTAATAATCTATTTTTATGGAATTTTGATGAATGAAATGAGAAAAGCATTTGAATTTACGAAAATCGTGTCTTAAGCTTTGACATTCAAATTCTGTCTTAGATAGTTGATCCTCAACTCCTGAGTTAAACTTGTGAAACTTTATTACATTTAGCACTAGTCCTTTGGAATTTAACTAATGTCAATGTTATTATGCACTATGTATGCGGTACTTACTTATGCATTTTTATTTCTATGACAATTGTCAATGATGTATACTTAGTTATATAACTGAGATGTTCTACATAGACAAACTATAGAAGAATATACACTAGAGCCACTCCATTGAATTTTTTCGTGCCACGAATATCTCACTGCACATGTGACTACCATAGTGGCAGCAAGTCAATTGCAATTTCTGACAAATAAGAATAATAAAAAGGCAAACGGCAGTCGTAGTAACGGCATGAGTATGTGACATGCAAAGAACTAAAACAAGCATAATTTTGTTCACACGGTCGTCTTACTTCTAAAACAGAAGTAATTTTACAAAAATTAAGCGATATTTTAGAATTACACTACAGACATAACAAATTAGCTAAAGCAGCATCTCGATAAAGTATGACTAAATATGCATGAGAAATCCTATCTAAATTTATATACCAACTTTCTAACTATTGGCAATAAAGTGCATGGTAAGGAAAGCAAAACCTGTTCAAAGGTATGGGAGAGGTGAAATAGCATACTTGTCTAATGAAAAAATGAGAATCTGTCAAAATTTATGTAGGGAGGGGCACGTGTCCAATCATGCATCTCCTCCCTTCTTGCCGACGCCACTTTTGACTAATTTCTGTGTGTCTAGCAAAATGTTGATAGTTGTATACAACAAACCTTTTCTTTAAAAAGTAAGAAAATTTGAAAAATAAGCAAATGTTAAACACAGGAAGAATGTATTTACACAGAGAAAGACGTAACCGAATCTATTTTTGTAAATTGTTGATTCATGCAACACATTGAGCTTTTAAAATTATACTTTTTATCTTGTTTATCTAGCAGTCTTAAGGTTTACTTTTATTGCATCCTTTACTGTTGTATCTACAGTGTCTTTATTGATCATAAGTAATTATAATTGCGTGCAGTTGATGTTTGCCATGTATTCATAATTTACAATGGTTTATTTAATAACAAAGATTTTTTATAATAAGAACTGATTTATTCAAGAATATACATGTATGGAATTTTTGATTAATGAAGGGAAAAATCCATTCACAGTTTCGAAAATTGTGTCTTAATCATCGGAATTCAAATCCTGTCTTAGATAAGTGATTCTCTATTCCTGAAATGAAACTTGTGAAACTTTATAAGATTTAGCAGTAGTCCTTTGAAATTTGACTCATCTCAATGTTATTATGTACTCTGCATGAGGTTCTTATTTATGTATTTTTATTTCTATAACAATTGTTTTTAGTCAGTGATGTATACTTAGTTATATAACAAGAATGTTCTACATAGACGTCATTAATGTGTTTTAATGCTGTTTGTCGAAGGAGATCCCGACTCATTCTTCATCTTCGTTCGTTATTCAAATGTGTATATGTAAAAAAACTCACAAGGGTAAAAGACTGATGTTACAGTAAGGTAGGAACTTTCATCACCATTTTTAATCTGATATGTATGTGGTCGCGTTGTTTATATTAAATCTCTCATCCGTTTGTTGAGTATGTGACATGTAAAGAACAAAAGCAAGCATAATTTTGTTCACACGGTCGTCTTACTTCTAAAACGGAAGTAATTTTAGAAAAATTAAGCGATATTTTAAAATTACACTACCGACATAACAAATTAGCTAAAGCAGCATCTCGATAAAGTATGAGTAAACATGCATGAGAAATCATATCTAAATTTATATAACAACTTTCTAACTATTGGCAATAAGCTGCATGGTAAATTAAAGCAAAACCTGTCCAAAGGTATGGGGTAGATGAAATAGCATACTTGTCAATGGAACAAATGGTAATCTGTGAAAATTTATGTAGGGAGGATAGCATGTTGTTAATTGTATTGAGCAAACCATTCATTTTAAAAGTAAGAACATTTGTAAAATAAGCAAATGTTGAACACAGGAAGAATGTGCTCCTTACTGTTGTATCTACAGTGTTTTTTATTGATCATAAATAATTATAATTGCGTGCAGTTGATGTTTGCCATGTATTTATAATTTACAATGGTTTATTCAATAATAAAAGTTTTTTATAATAAGAACTGACTTATTCAAGAATATAAATGTATGGATTTTTGATTAATGAAGGGAAAAATCCATTCACAGTTTCGAAAATCGTGTCTTAATCATTGGCATTCAAATCCTGTCTTAAATAGGTGATTCACTATTCCTGAGTTAAAACTTGTGAAACTTTATAAGATTTAGCAGTAGTCCTTTGGAATTTGACTAATCTCAATGTTATTATATACTCTGCATGAGGTTCTTATTTATGTATTTTTATTTCTATAACAATTATTTTTAGTCAGTGATGTGTACTTAGTTATATAACTAGAATGTTCTACATAGATGTCATTAATGTTTTATAATACTGTTTGTTGAAGGAGATCCTGACGCACTCTTCATCTTCGTTCGTTATTTAAATGTGTTTATGTCACAAAACTCATATGGATAAAAAGCTGAATTTTCATTAATGTATCAATTATGATCACCTGATATGTATGTAGTCGCGTTTTTTATATTAAATTTCTCATCTTTTGTTAGGTACGTAACATGTAAAGAACTAAAGCAAGCATAATTTTGTCCACACAATCGTCGTATACGAAGTCTTATTTCTAAAACAAAGGTAATTTTACTTAAGTTAACCGAGATTTTGTATTTATATTCCTAACTTAACAAATTAGGAAATTGAACGAGACTTACGTGAAGTTAAAGTTCGATTGGGATACTATTAGCATCCACAGAGCAGAGATTACACGAGAGATACTACGCATGCGCACATTGTTCATGTTTCGAAGATAGTGGCCACATGAACCGCCTAAATGTGCATATGAACGATATGCAGGGAGGCAGTAAGATGATGGGTGGGCGTGTAATCTCTGCTCTGTAGATGCTAATAGAATCCCAATCGAACTTCAACTTCAGGTAAGTCTCATTCAATTTCCTAATTCTATTAGCATCTACCGCAGAGATCCCACGAGATTTGAAAGTCATGTGGACACACTTCATGCCTACACGCAAATACGACATTAAGTTATAAACTTACTTTAATTTGAGATGTGTCAAACATACCCAGAAATAGTAACAAGTATGAATTTAAAGTATTTCTTTATCTTGCCCTATACATGCAAGTATATGTGTTCTGAACTCCATGAAAAGTTCAGCTAAAGAGAATTCTCATCCAATATCTTTCTTTTTGAGAAGCTGAAAGAATGGCAATCCCAAACTCCGCATCGCTACGTTGAGACACAACGTTCTTATTGTAAAACCAATGAAAAACGCAATCAGTCTTCCAACTTGCAGCTTTCAGTATAGAGTTTATCGAAACATTACATTGCTTCGCTTTACTCGTGGCTGAGGCTCGTGTACTATGTGGTTTGCACGTTTCTATATCAATTCCTGCAGCTTGCATGACAACCCTTATCCAACGAGATATAGATGACTTTGATACTTTATGAAAGGGTGGAATTGTGCAAAGAAATAGTTGATTTTCTTGACACCGAATGGGAGCAGTGCGTTTAATATAATCTTCCATGACTGAGGCAACACATAGTCGGTGATCGGCAGGGAACTTTGGTATCACTGAAGTAGGTTGAATGCGTGTTGTTCCAGACTGTTTGACAAGTTGGTCGATCTAGAAGGTGTATGAGTCCTCTTCCTTCTTTACAGTTAAGAGGTTCATGTGGTGGAGTGATTGGGCACGCTGCCCTTTGACTAATGCACAGAGCATTACCAACTTATGAGTTAGCTGTTATAGGGTTAAGTCTTGTACTGCGGAATATGTCTTTAAATACTCTAAAACAATGAAGGTGTCCCAGGTCACTTGATATCTTGCTAGTGCTGGTCTAGAATGGAACACTCCCTTCATAAATCTCTCAACCATATGATATGTACCAATCGTAGAATTCCCTTCAGTAATAACGAATGAAGATAACATACTTCGAGCAGTGTTGATGCAACTGTAACTCATCCCTTGATCAAATAGTTGCTGTAGAAAGTCTAGAACTACCGGTAAAGTTGGATGAAGGGGATCTGCATTCCGTTTATTAGCATAGAGTTACCACTTGTTAAGGTACAACTGATATTGTTTTTGTGTTCCTTGCCGCCAGGAATTAAGTATTGTTGCTTGAGCCGTTGGTGAAATGCTTTTAATTGAGAGTGATCTCCGGATATGAGACAAGCTATCAGTCTCAGTCTCCCTTTTAGTGGATGTTCTTTTGTTTGATTGGATGGTAAGCTCACGTTGCTTTTGTTTTTGGGTAGAAGAATGGGTCGGTGAATCATTAATGTTTCCAGAATTGGACACCAGGATTGAGTTGGCCAATTCGGCGCGATGAGAATTGTCTGTGCCTGGGCCATTTCTAATTTTTGTAAAACTTGTGATATAAAACTAAAAGGTGGAAAAGCATAAAAAATCATTTACTCCAATCAATGCAAAAAGCGTCGATAGCCCACGTCTGTGGATCCGGGTGCCACGGGACTTAGGGTTTAAATTGATAGTTTACTCTAGAAGTCAACATGTCAACTTCTGGGGTCCCAAAATATGCTGTTATTTCAAGAAATAGTTCAGCATCAAGCTTCCATTCTTTGGAATTATCAAATGTTATGGAAGCTTTGTCAGCCACCACATTAAGTTTCCCAGGGATTTAGCTGACAGTTTACCATATGTCCCTGATTTCCCTTCCAATTTTATTGCAATGGCGAGAGTGGCAGCCTCCCATGTGTTTAATATATGCAAGGGCAGTGGAATTATCGGTAATTACTTTAATGTTGGTGTGGGCTAGATCTCTACAGAGAGATTGTAGCCCAAGCAGTATTGCTTTGAGTTGGAGGCAGTTAATGTGCGAGTCTTTTTCGGCTGTTGACCATTCGCCTCCGGTGGACTGTTTGTTAATACCTGCGCCCCATCCCTTGGTAGAGGCGTCCGTATACAATACGTGGTCAATCTTGCCATGATTCAGATGTTTTTTTTGGACTCATATGCATTATTAATCCACCAAGATACGTCCTCCAGCGCCGAAGGAGAGAGTTTCAATGTCGAATCAAAGTTACCCCTGTTAGACTTAAGGGCTGTTGTTTTGTTCCTATCAAGATCACGATAAAACAGTGGGCCATATTCAACGCCAGGGAAACAAGCTACCATCATACCAATTAGCTTGGCCACTTCCCGTATACTAGGAAAGTTAGATTTTAGCACCCCCTGGCAACCTTGCATAATTTGTTGTGTTTCTCTATGGATATGGAGATAGTCATATCTATTGAATTTAACACAAACCCTAAATGTTGTAAAATATGTGTGGGTTCTGTAACAGATTTATCTTTATGGGGTAGAAATCCTAACTTCTGAAACAATTGTAGAGTGTCATGTACGTTTTGCTCGCACTCTGAATAGGAGTAGCTCATTAAAAAAGACTCATCAATGTATCGCTAGAAATGTGCCCAAGCTCCCTCAGCTTAGAATATACAGGCTTGAGTATCTTTGTAAATAAAAGTGGAGCGGAAGATAATCCTTGAGCAAGGCAAGTGAATTGGTACAGATTACCTTTCCACATAAATTTTAAGTATTTTTGATGCTCTATGTGTATTGGTATTGAGTAATAGGCATCTATAAGGTCAACAGATGCCATGTAGCACCCAGGTCGCATGAGCTGAGTACAAGTATGGATAGATTCCTTTTTAAAGTAGTGATATGTTACAAATGTATTGAGCTCTTTTAGGTTTAATATCATTCTAAATGATCCATCTTTCTTTGCTCTAAGAAAGATATTGGAGATAAACTCGCCCTGTTCATGCATGCTTGTAACAATGATACCTTTCTCTAGAAATTATGTAACTTGACGATGGACATTTTGAACTTACGAAGGAGACATTTTTATAGAGTTGGTTTGTTTCAACATGATTGGGTCTATAAAAAAATCAATCTTGTATCCGCTTACAGCTGATAAAATGGAAGGATCGTGAGTTAGCGCCCTCCACTTCCCAATAAATTGTTGTATCCGGTCTGCAACTATACTACAATAATTGTCTCCCCAGATATTATAGAAGTACTACATTCGCGTTTACTAGAACTTACATGGTCGAGAGCAGGAGTCACTGCTTTCTTAGTGTTTTTCCCCCTGTCTCGACTTTCCTCTTGGGTTGGTTTTGATAATAGTTGCGTCTTTGGGGTCGGCTTTACAAATGACCGCCCGACGTTGAAATAAAAAAGGTGCATTGGAGTTATATGAGCTGGTCGACCGTTGATCGTTGCGTTTCCGTTTTTTGCTTGTCAGTTGCTGTGCAGGCTTTTTGCTTTCTTTTACTGTTTTTAGACGTTCCTTTAAATCCTCACCAAACAGTTCTGCTGCAACAGGTTCTTTGTTACTACAGATTGCCTTGTAATTTTCATCAAGGTCAACTTTGAACAAGTCTCTGCGGCGCAAGTTCAGATCATGATTAGCTGAAGCGAGAAGCACAATAGATGTGGACAGCCCATCCCAGATAACCTCTTGTGTCGGTGCAGGTGTTGTAGGGTATGTTCCAAGAGAGGTACTAATCGATCCCGCAATTGGGGAAATCGGAATGAGGCCCTTTATTAAGGCTTCTTGTAATTTTTGTAGACGTGCACCCATGCTACGTGTTGATTTTCTAGCAATGTCCCAAATTTCTGGGTTCACCTTTGTAACTCTTAACAGGTCACAGTTTTCGGGTCCCCCTTTCTTCCGTTTTGATAATGCTTGTTCGTTTAGTCCAGTGGACAAAATGCTGGTCAGGATTTTAGAAATTTTAGTTGGCAATGGTTTGTCTGTCGGCTCATTCTCAGTCACTTCGTGAATCAGCTCATCTACCAAAGCATCGCTTTGGTTTGCTAGAGCTGGAGCTGTATCTGCAACTACAGCAGCAGCCCCGTTGAATGAGTGTTTGTCATCAGTTTCACCTTCAGATATAACATCACCATCGTTTACTTGGAGTGCGGCATCATAAACTTGCTTGAGTTCTTTTACGACAGGTGCAAAAGTATTCATCAAGTCAGTAAGTTGATCGACTTTCCTGTTAAGATCATCCAAAGTAGTTCTCCCGTCATTTCCTTCTTCTAGGAGATTGTTGTTGTTGGCTTTAGCAGGGTGTTTATACCCGGACCCGCCAGATTTGCCCATTTTCCCTTGTAGGCGAGACCGTTTCTGTTGCGGTTCAACGTCTACATTCACGTCTCCTAATAAGCCCGACAGCGTCGGATTAGGATGGTTATGCAAGAGCTTCAGGTCGTCTGCTTGCTCAATTGCTTCGCTGACTTGTGCCATTTGTTGTTGAATAGATTATCTAACCACAGAAAAAGAGTTTGCCGCGCAAACTCAGTGGTTATGTAGGTGTTTTGTCCTGTATTGTTACCAATGTGCGCATGCGTAGTATTTCTCGTGAGATCTCTGCGGTAGATGCTAATAGAATCAATGTTTATTTTCATTCTTAATGAAAATCGTTTTAATGATTTTATAAGTGACTTTTAAAGCTATTATTCACACCACGCCTGTAAGGTATGTTTTGTTTTTTGTTTCAAATTATCCACCATAAAAATTGCGGCTCTTACACACAGAAAACACTTGATAATAAATGATTCTGAGTCAGTGATGCGCTTCACATTCACAGATACCACGTCATAATGTGACATTTCTCTTTAAATATAATTAAACTTAAGTAAACAGTACAATGTACAAATGTAAAGTAAAGATTAGGTTCCAGCGGTCAAAATGAACTCATGATAAGGTATATATTTCATCATCAATCATTCTTTTTTAACATAATTACACTTTAGTAAACAATACAATGTATAAATGTTAAGTAAAGATTATGTTCAAGTGGTCAAAATGAACGCCAGATAACGTACATATTTCATTATCATTCATTTTGCACGTAATTTATTCTTAGATGAACTTTGATTTAGCATGTACACTGAGAAACTGAAATCAAGATACTTGTTTTGTTTTCCATCGTGTCTAACTGTTTTAGTTACTTGAATTAAATCGTGGAACAACACAAAATCAAAAAATTTCACTGACTGTCAGGTCAGGCCCGTCGTGAGGTGATTGGCAAGGGGGCATTTTGCCTTGGGCCAGTAATATAATAGGGGCTGGCGTCTCCTCATTTGAACGCGTGAAAATTGCAAAATTGAAGTTTACAGAATAAGTAATGAATGATTTGTGCATTATTTGTACTTTTCTTACGTTATCTAACCCTGCATAAGACATTCATCAATTGTTAAGTTTTTAGAAATTCTCGTAGCATCTTCAAACGGAATCACGCTTTAAGTGTTATCAATATGAGCAGGCATGTGTCTAGGTTGTAAAATTTTGGGGAGCAACAACATTATTTTGGGGGAAGAGCAGTTGTAGACGTCAAGTTATACTGTATTATAACAATAATATATGTTATCACTAGTAAGTTTTTTTGGGTAACCGCTGTGCATGCGCGTCTAACCACTGTTGTGCGTGGTCCCGAAAGAATAACTATTAATTTGGGTTCTATTTCCACACGCAACAAAGATAGTGTGAACCAGTTATATTTCTCAAACAATTTATCAATCAACGCGTAAATATTAAAGTAGATAAGTGTCTTAATAATAATATCAATAAGTATGAGTAAAACTTATCTCCTCTGTCTGAGTACAACCGCGAGTCTTTATTCTTGAGCGTTCGTGAGTCCAACAATGACTCACAATAGTTTTCCAAATGGATTAAAGGCACAGAAGCCAAACGATAGTTATGGCACAGAAGCCAAGATAATTGTCTGGTAGATTGTAGCTTGTCAACCTACTTCGGTAGGCTATGCCTCCTAAGTTTATCTCCTCGTAGCTTGTGCTCGTAGGTTGTCCTTTTAGGTTGTATTCAGTGGTCTAAACTACATATATATATTTAATATCTAATGAGAAGTATTGTGGTTTTGTGACCTACATCCCATATGCAATACAGTATGTTACAGCGAGATGTAGTTAACCAAAACAACAACATATGCGGTTGCGGTTCTAAAATATGTTTACGCATGTAAGCAAGCTTCTAGCGCATGCAAGCAAGCTTCTAGATTATGTCCTAATTAGTAATGACATTGCAAAATGGATTTAAAAGTTAAAATATAGAAATATGAAATTATACTATGATATATTAATAGTTTATAAATGATATTACATGATGATAGTTGCTATCATGTAACAGCTATGCTATGCTGAAAAAGTGTCTGAGTGAGACAGTGAGGCTGGCAGTGTTTGTTTGTGGTGATATCCTCGGCTGTGTCATCGGTGATAGTCGCATATGCGAACGATCACGAATAGAATTGTTTTAAGTAAAGTCAATATTTATGTTGTCCTTTAATTACCTATGCTTTAGAGCGTATAATCTGCACTTTGTTTTAGTGACTATAGTCAAAACCTTGCAGCTGAAAATATCATTTATTTATACGCTTTACTGGTGATTACAGACGTCAAATATATCTCGTTTGGGCAAAAAAATACAAGGAACTTGATACACTATGCATTCCGTATTTGTATTTTGTTCGGTCTTTTATTCATATGTCGCGTTGTTTATCTCTCACCCTGTGTTCTGAGTTCTGGTGAGGAAAATGTAAAGCAGATAGGATATAGTTTTCTTTACTTTCATTTCAATTAGTAATGATGACGATTTGGATTTAACAGATTGTCAAAAATGACGAAGAATTTAAATATATTATTAGAATTAAGCTATGGTCCTATGAGGGACTACTGCAGTTTAGCGGACACCTTGGACGCTGACCCAAACCCTACCTCATAATCCCAAGGAAAAACGAGCCCGCAGTCACTAGCGCTTCGGGTGTCTGCTAAACTGCAGTCTAGCAAAAATTTAAATTGGAACAGATTCATCATCAATATAGTCCTATCAAAATGTTAATAAGCAAATATTCATACAACACAGCAAACCAGTTTGATATATCCTGTTAAAAGAACGACGTATCTCTTCACCACACGATTGTTAGACAAATAAGATATATTATTTATTAACTAGGAGTTGTTATCGCAAGGTAAATGCTGCCTCTTGCACCGGTAGGCGAAAATATGCTCATTTTAAGTGTTTTTTCATTGTATCAAGTCTACTATTTTAATGCCTTGATGTTAGATGAATTACTGGGTCATGTCACTAGGCAGTGAACACAATTTTTTCCAAGAGAAAGAAACGAAGCAAACAAGTCTTTATAAATGACTTGTAATACTATTTTTAATTTTCCTTTTAACTTTAGTGAACATTTTGTACATTTTAAATTATACCTTTTTTTACAAATTCATTCGTCATTTCTAGAAAAAAATGGCTTCGCCACATAAAAACTTAAAGATTGAGGAAAATGGATCTCGTTTGAGTAAACTTTTAATCAATAAAGGAACCCAAGCCTTAAAAACAACATTACAATCTTTATTAAAGCCATCAGGTTTAGCTGGTAAACTTAAAGATCCCTCTACAAAGAAGACGCTAACATCTCTAAAAGTTATTAAAGTCATCAAGAATGAGCAATGGGATCTTCTTTACCCGTCAGTTGGTGAACCTGACATTGAAAACTTTGACATCACATTATTAACTGTCTTATTGCGAAATATATGTGGTCTAAAAGCGCCGAAAAGAGGATGGGATAATCTTCCTTCTTCTTCAGATTCTTCAGACTCAGCAAACATTGCAAGAATAAAGTTTTATCGAAACAAAGTGTATGGCCACATAAGCACAACTAGTGTAGATGATAGTGAATTTGAGAACTTGTGGCAGGAAATTTCAAAAGCATTGGTTGGTCTGGGTATTCAACAAACTGAAATAGATGAATTAAAGAAAGCTCCCCTAACTACCGACGAGGCAAATTATATTGAAATGTTAAAAGAATGGTATAAAAAAGAAGAGCAGTTAATCGATGTCACTGAAGAAATCAAACAAGATGTGAAAGTATTAAATAGAAATGTTGTGGAGATGGCAACAAAAGTTACGAACATAAATGAGGATGTAGCAGGAGTAAAAAAAATGTTACAGGACAAAACATATTTAGTTGTCGAAAAGCTTGGAAAGTGTAAGTTTGATGGTCTTATAAAGAATCTTAACAAGAAATACCTTGAAGGCACTAGACAATGGTTATTTCAAAAACTCGACACTTGGTTTAACGATAGAAGTGAAGATGCTTCTAATGTCATGGTTTTGATTGCCGGTCCAGGCGTTGGTAAAAGTGTGTTTGCTGCTGAGGTGTGTCGACGATATTCTGAAAAGAAGAAACTTGCTGCTTGTCATTTCTGCAGATATAATATATCAGATTATAGAAATCCTCGAATATTGATAGAATCATTGGCTAGTAGCATGTGTGATACAATATCAAATTTTAAAAGTAAACTGAATGAAGAATTACAGAGAAATCATTCCAAAGAATCGATCACCGATGAATTCATTGTTTTATTAAATAATCCATTGCATTCATTGGAAGATCATGAACCAATGCTTTTGGTTATTGATGCCTTGGATGAAAGTCAAGTTGATGGCAAAAGTGAATTGTTGGAATTGATTGCAAAAGAGTTTGACCTACTGCCTAAATGGATTAAAATCTTCATCACCAGTCGTCCAGAACTTCCTGTTCAAAAGGAGTTGAAAGACATGAATCCTGTGGAAATTACAACTCATCCTCGTGATATAAACAACGAAAAAGACCTGCACAAGTATTTGGAACATCAGTTGAACAATCGTGTGCAGAGATATCGCTACGTTCCATCGTCATTGGTTAAAAAATGTGAGGGATCATTTCTTTATGCGTATCACGCACAACTGAGCTTAAAGAAAGAAAATATTGAGCTTACAGGCGAGAATATTGATCAATTGGTCCCTAGTGGTTTAAGCGGTGTTTACACAAAGCAATTCAAAAGAGTAAAAGATTTAGCGAAAGAAAGTCCCGTAAATTCTGTTATCTCAGAAACTACTTTCATGCAATTTCTTGAATTGTTGGCTGCCTGTCGGGAGTTTTTACCATTAACTTTACTGTTTAGCTATTTAGGTTTTTCTGCTGACATCAAGTTTAAAGTCCGCAGTAAAATCATTGAATTGTTATCTCAAATTTTGCCAGTTTACGATTATTGTTTAACCGTGTATCACAAATCTCTAATTGATTGGTTAAAATCAGATGGTTATGAACAGCATGAGTTTACAGTTTATCCAAAAAATGGTCATAAGTTCTTATGGCATGCTTGTGAGAAAGTGTTTGAACAAATCAAGTCGATGAACATTTTTAAAGATCAGATGAACACTGCTATGATTAAATATGCTTTGGAGAATGGAATTTATCATATGTCAGAATGTGGCGAAAATGTTGACTTTAGTTGGGCAGTAGATGTGAAAGTGGTTTGTGCGAGGTTAATGTGTGGGAAAGACATTTACGTGGGTACCATAAGTTCTGAATTGTTTGAAATCATTGATGAACGACGTACTTTCTTGAAAAAAGATGTACTTGAGGAAGTACTATTTCATTTGTTTAGGTTAAAGAAATATAGGTCATATCTGTGTGATGATAGCTCAATTTATTTACCAATTATTGCAAACAGAATTCATGGCAGTAACGAAAAAAGATTATTGGCAAGGGATTTATTGAAACAAGGAAAATTTACTTGGTTTGAGGATTTAGACACAACATATTTAACAAGCCATCATCATTTGACTGTCTCCTTGCGTGCTAACGTTACATCTCTTTGTGTGTCGTCCAATGAAGAACTTCTTGCTGTAGGATATGAAAATGGTCAAATATCTATTTTTGAGCTTCCAGAATTTACAGAAAGATGCACTCTAGGCACTGCACTCGATGATTCAAGTTTGGATAAGTGGGATGATGTAGTAAAATTTATGTCCCTGTATAAAAACAGTGACTATTCAACATTAATAAAAAGGCGTTTTGTACAAGAAAACATATGTTGTTGCTCCTTTTCACCTACCGGAAATAGACTGGTAACTAGTGATGGATCTACTGAAGTAAAGTTGTGGAACGTTAACAATGGACGTTTGTTATCATGTTTACAGTCAGATGATGTCGTTAATCGTTGCTCTTTCTTAGATTCTGGTTTGTTTATTACAGCAAGATATGATGGTTTTGAAGATGTGTTCACTGCATGGAATTCATTAACTTTGCAAAGAATCGATCGACGCTGCGTTGTTGATTACCAAAAACTACAATGCATCGATAAATATTCAGAGTTCTATTTTGCAGAAATCGTCGAGACTTCGTGTGTTTTTCAATTCCCAAAGGCAATCGATATATTTTCAAATGAATATAGATATTTACCATCTTTTATGACAACACACAATTATCGTGATTGTATTTTTTATCATACAAGCCAGAATGGAAAGCTTTCTGAAAACACTCAGTTGACAAAATACAACGATCAAGGAGAAATCGAGTTTTGTTTACCAGATGTTGAGTGTCCATGTGTTGATAGGTTTCTTAACGAAGTCCATCCCATCTCGTTTAAGGAATTTTACGTTGTGCCGTATTTTTCCAAGCTTAAAATTTTCAAAACTGATCATCTTTGGAGACCTTCACTTATCTTTGAGAAATTTAAAATTAAATGTTGTTGTTTTTCACCGGGTGGATCTTTTTTGGCTGCTTTTGTTGCCGTTGGTGACCACGTCAACATTGATATTTGGAGCATTGAACGTTGCACTATTATTCAAACTGTACCAATGCAACTGAAGAAAGCAAAAGGATGTTGGTGGTCTGATGGTTTACTGTGGATATGGGATGGTTCTGATCATCTTACGAAGATATCAACTTCATCTGAAATTTTTGTAGATTCTACTCAAGCAAAGCATGTTAACATTGGATTTAAGCCTAAGAAAATTTTAACATTTGGTGATGTCTTAGTTTGTAAAGACCGTAAAGGTTTTGTTCAAGTTGTAAGAATTACCAAGGGTGAGATACAATACAAAAAAAGACTTCCTGTCGCTAGGTCAAAATTTAAAGCAGCAGCTGTATCACCTGATAATTCTGTTATTTTAACTGTAAACAAAACAGAATACACATTATGGAAATGGGGAAATGAGAACAATGAACTTTACTTGGAACCTTGGCATACTGCAGAAATACCCGTAACGTCTTTTTATGAAGAATTTTTTCAGAAACATATAAATGTTCGTTGTCTTCGAGTCCGTTGCTTTATAAGTGATAGTAACCAAGCGGTCATTCAATGTGATATTAAACTCGGCTATTACAAAAAGACACTTGGCATTTATGTAATCAATATGCTTAAAAACAATGACGTGAGTGCGATTTGGCATTATATCCGTGGATGTTTTTGGTCTAGCACAATCGTACATAAATCATATTTCATTGGTGCTGAATATGATTCTGTTAGGAAATTGTATGCTGTAGACTTAAAGAGTGGTGAAAAAAGCAGTTTTTATGACGAAGAATATTATTTGAAGTCTGTTATAACTTTTTAAGCTCAATGTTCCTGAATGAATGCACTAACTCAACCTTTTTTTAGTTATATTAACCTATCGTATTTACTAACATTACATATCACTTAAAACGAACATAAAAAGTTCTTTATATCACAAAAGGACAGTTATTTATGGTATCAACAACGAACTCAAAAATATTGCAGAAAACATTGTCCATATCCTTTGTTTAACCGTGGAAAAGCTGTCAGTTTTTAATTATGTAAAAATATCACGGACAGAGAGAGAGATTAGTTTTTGTAATGTCAAGTAAAGATCTTTTTCATCCTATGATTCCCGTCAACTTTCAAATTTATATTTCGAGAATTCAACACTGTAACATTGTCAAAGTTTTGATGAAATTGAGCATATCACACGAAGATGATGATTGCCGCTTGTTTTACATGTGAAAATTAGCAAAAGTGAGAAACCTTTGATCTCTGAGCGAACTTTATGTTGATGGTTTAGTTTTTAAAGTGCACATACAGTTATTTCCAAATTCGTTGAAATTTTAAAGTTTAGACTGTGGAAAATATGATTTCGAAAAAAATTTCGTAAAAAAAGAAAAAACAAAGTTTTTTTGCGGTTTGAATTAGCTTGCTTTTGAGAAATTTCCGCGCCGCTGAGGGGACTTAAAACGAGAGGTTTGTGACGTCATTTAAGGAACGTATGAATGCGTTGCATACAAAACAACATAGTGTGAAATAACAATTCTTTATATATTGCTTTGAAATTAATATAAAAATTGTACGAAACATGTCCACATCTGATTCTGAGTCGAGTACAGCAACAACAGTGGAAAATATTGAATTGAACAGTCGGGAATTCGATTTAGAAGACGAAGATCAATCGTCATCAAATGCGCTCCTAAACACCGATGGCGATTTTGAGTATGGCCAAGCTGAAGCGTATGAAAACGAACCACTTGCAGATGAAGAGTGGTTAGAAAAGTATATTAGAGAAACAGAAGAAGAAAGACGCCAAACAGAAGAGCTCAAACGCAGAATGCAAAATGAAGTTCCTCTTGATTCTTGGTAAGAAAATTTGGAAAATTTGTTTATTTATTGTTGCCGAAGCTTTTGACAGATAACTTTCGTAGGTGCCATTGTGGTAACTGCCGTGTTCCTCTCTTGGTTAATCCAAAAGAATGTAGATGCTGCCACGAAATTGCCAATTGCATGATTGAAATGCAAGATCATATGGTGGTATCCGAATTAGGAAGGCAGCCAAAATGCATAACAGAGCATCCAGGATTTGATGCCATTTGCCTCAATCGATGGGCATTAAATTTAGCTGCCAATCTTTACCAAAGACAAGATGGAGTTAGATATCATAAAGGATTCTTGGTGCAAAGGTTTGTTAGAATTATTAGTTAAATGTTTCTGTCTGGGTTATCTATGAATGCACACTTGCAAAATTTGTATTTTATGGAGTCCTACCTGTTTTAATGGACCTTGTGTATTATGCCTTTTCAGGTTTTTTCGTGTTGTTGCATATAGACAATTTACAAGAATGGTACATGGCATTCTTCGAGACAAAAGAATTCCATTTCCAGCTTGTGCTTACCATGTTATTCAAAAACTTTTAATTTAAAAAAAAAATGAACACTTTGCAGGGTATGAAGAGGACAATTTGTAAAATAACATAACATATATTATTTTAGGTGTGGTTTGCATGAGCCCAGCTAGTAGGGATTCAGTGAAGTGTGGAATGATTTAAGCCACTCTTGATTTATTGCATCTTCGATTCACACTTATACTTGTTATACAAAACATACAAAATTACAATTCCTTTCTCTTTATTCTGTTCATGCAGTCAATTCACACTTCACTGAATCCCAACTAACTGGGCTCATACCACCAGGTCCTAAAAAACTGGTTACTTTTGGTTTTTTGGACAGTTCATTATATTTTTATGGCCTTTCATCCAATTCTTGCACACAGTGCATCGAGGTTCTGCTCTCTCATTTCTCTGATTAGTGATTATTTCTTGGACAGGTGATACTTCAGCTATATCAAACAATAAAGTGAGTCAGTTCCAAAAATAAGATTCAAATTAACTCAAAGCAAGTAATGCCTTTTGTAAAACCTGGCTTAGTTGGGGGGAAATGTACAGCTGGCATGCTTTTTTTTCTTGCTTTTTTTGAGATAGCTTCACTTTTTGATTGCTTGTCCAACATGGAATTCATTGGCAATGGAGTCATTCGTAAAAGATCACCTTTGGCTTTTCTCAATGTTTCCTCATCAATGAGTGCAGAGCACAACACTTGATAAATATCTTCAACATACCTTGGAGGAGCAATGTGCAAATTATTCAAAATTTTATTTTATGGTAATAATTTCTTATTAAGGCTTTCATTATTATGGCATTAAACACATGATATCTGGCAGTAGGAGAAATGTATTAAATTACCTTACCAAAATCCTGAGCAACTTTTACATTTCTTACAACAGCTTCACCATTTTTATTCAGACATCCACTTTCTTTTCATCTAAAATGGCATGTATTTATGAAATATACTCTCACACAGATTCCAGGTAAAATGTAGATATGCATATGTATAATTTTAACGTACTCACCATTCTGCGATCTCTTGTTGTAAGTTCATTGTCATCTTTTCGAGGATAAATGCTCGGGTAAGCAACGATTCCGAATTCATCTCGAACGAGTCGAGGTGCAAAATTACTTTCTGATTCAGAAAGCGAGCCGAATTGCCGAGAAAACGAATCTTGTGAAGTGTTCCGAGCAAACTGCGGAATTCTTTGTGGGGACCCACCAATGAACTCTACAACAACTGGAAGGCTAACTCATTATAAACAAACCTAGACTTGTTTGAAGCCACTTAGAAGCTGATTTGCAGCTTCGCGTGTATCTCGCGTGGACTGTTTTATTTGCGTGACGGATTGTTTTGCAAAAACTGCTAACTTGGAAATAGAATGCTAGCCTAAATGCTTTATTTTTTTCAAAACTGTTAGCAAAATTTGGTTATTAATGTGTTAAGATGCATTGTGGACGTTCCCAGACATGTTTTGTATACGTAACGCTGTATTATATAAAACACAAAAGGGAGAACTTGCTTCGAAATATGAATTTCTCATTTGTCGTCGAAAGACCAAAAATTTAAGATAAAACTGAGAACAGGTAGTCTGTATCTTTGAATGCTGTGCAAAATACACACAATCCACTTAACATAACATGTTTCATAACAATTTTATTGCTTTTAAAGTTAGACTTGCTTTGTAAGAATTTCGCATGCTCTTTTTGTAATGTGTGAAAGTGATGATTTGAAATTTTGACTTGTGGGTGATTGTTGGTTTTTGTCATTTACTTCTCCCACTTCTTAAGAACTGTTGGAAGATTTGACATGCATCCATATTTGTGCATTGAGCATTTTATTAGCAAGTTCATGCTTATAAATAAATAGCCAAGTGTACAACATGACAAGTATTGCTAATATAACCTGCTCTACATAAAGGCCAAAAAGCAACCCTCATCCTCAGTGGTTTGAAACAGGGTTTTAAAATAAAGCAAGCAAAGCTATATCATGCATCAAAATTTTATAGTATATCATATTGATTGTAAAATTAGTTTTTTCTTGTAATACAGATGATGATAAATGCATATGTAATATATTAAATTTTAGGATGTGTGTTTAAAATGTTTGGTCATATTTGTGAAAATATATGATGATTCTATAATATTAGACTAATAATCTTTTTCATACTTGTATTACATTACAATTTTTACTTTTGTGTTTTTCTTTTTGTTTATGCTCTGAACTTTCAAAAAGGACTGGGGCGAGCTAATTTTGCTCGGAAACACAAAAATTACCGAAAAACAGCGTTTTTTGCCCTGACAGCTTCATTTTCACAGATTCAAACAATATTATAAGGCTAGACAAGTGCATTTTACATCCTTTTAATGAAAAAAAAACGAGGGGTGTCAGTTTTGTATTCAAGTTATAAGGCATGTTTTCACGTGTCAAAACAAAGTTCGCTTTTTATCCTTCTAAAAAGAAGCTTAAACATGTACAAATGTCGTTCAAACTTGTTTTATATTAAAGTCCAAACATTGTTTAAGATTTTTAGACATTAAGCTGGCTTGAAGACCACTGTTTTTTGCAAAAAATTCGGCAATTTCGAAGTGATGTATTTTGCCTCCGTACCTTCAATGGCGGCGCTCATGCAGGCTTCAAAGATGGCGTCCAAGTTAGCCTTCCAGTTGTTGTAGAGTTCACTGGGACCAATGATCTAATACCCATTCTACTAGATACCTGACTCAGCCAAATTTGTATAGTAATGAGTGAGGCAAATTTCTACGCGGCCGCCATTTGCAAAGGTGGCAAAAGCACAATGGCGGCATATAAAAACATTAAGTCTGTGCTGAGAGAAATCGACTTTGAGAGCGTTTTTATGATGCTGTTCTACTGAAGTTGCATTAAAAATGGTGAGTAATTTCTTTAATATTGTTAAAATGTGTAAAATTTTTAAATACTTGAGATAGAGCGGTCTTAACGTGTATTTTGCGACCATAAACTAAAGGCTGAGAGTTACATAAGTATGAACTACTAATCGTGAGTATTTATTAATTTACATCTTCTTTGCTGTTCTCTATGCTTTTTTATCGTAAACCAAAAACATATTTACAGAAAAAAAGCGACAAAATCGCATAACAGCTATCCAGAACTTTGATTTGAACACAACGTTTACGGTTTATATGAATTATTTTACCTGAACAACATAATTTTAGATCTATTAACAATATGACTGCATCGTTGTAAAAATGCGCTTATTTTCACTATTTACAATAAACCACTATTAATTATTTTTTAGGATTTACATTTCCTTGGTTGTGGTGTGGATGTTCATCGAAGTCGACTAGATTCCTTGAAATAAAACAAGCTTCGTAGATTGCTGGCGAACACCAATTTTGTTTTTGTGGAGGATATCTTTATTATATCGCTTACCATAGGTCGAAAGTCGTAAATTGATGTATTTTTCAATGATCTGTTTGATAAGCTGTGATGAATGTAGATCTTCAGTTATTGCTTCGTGATCAACATCATGCTTGTTGAGTTCAGGAAACAAGCTCTTTTCTGCAAGCTCTTGGTTAATAAGATGAACCATTATAGTCTTCAAGTTTCTCCTGCTGGAAATTTTTTGTTTTTTTGAACGAGTTTCATGAATGAGGACTTGAAAAGCTCTTTCAGATGCAAATATTATTTTGGTCACACCATTAGAAGGGAGAACAAGACCACCACGATTCTTCAAACTGATTAAAGATAAAGATGTAGTAGTTTGGAAGTGTGAATAATTATGATCATGAACTGATGATGATTTTTTTGACTTAGGCAAAAGAGCTCTTGCACATTCAGTACAGGCGATTCTATTGATTATCTTTTTTACAACAAACCCAGCAATATATCCAAGTATTGCTTCTTTGTATGATGACAGTGAACATGATTCTAATCCAGAAACTAAACTACTGACATATTGTGTGTCCTTTGGTGTCATCTCTTCTACTTCAAAGGCTGGAGCATTTCTTTTATTCCATTTTAATGAAAAAATAGAACCAGCAGATTCATTTTCGAAAGTCAAACAGTTTGCATGCTTGGAACCAATGATGGAATTTCTTAAAAGAATTTTTCGTAGACTGGACTTAAATTGTACAATATCTGGATTATTGTTGAAGCCATTCTTACCACGTATGCATGCAAACAGCAGCTCAAGGTGGTCTTGGGACATTTTGTATGTCAGAATGTATTTGAAAGGATCATGTTCCCTTGTAAGGAACATGACTTTCCTCGAGCAAATCTATTTTAGCTTTTTTAGCGCTTGGTGATGATGTTTCTGTCTCTCTTCTAGCAGGAGGCTTTCTTTTTGACTTTTTAGATAGTAGTCTCTCCGGAAAAGCGAACACTGAAGGTATCGCGTCTAACTTTAACTTACGTTTATAGGCATTTTCAGTGTTATAATCATCGTGCAAAAAATGATCGCTGTAAAGAAAGCTGTTTGCGTTTGGGGTAAAGTTTTTTCGTTTCATAGCAATGACCCATCTTTTACAGAGGTCCTTATTTTCAATGGGAAATTTGTGAAAAGCTATGTTACTCTCTTTCAAAAAGCGATTTGTACATCCATACGCGGCGCACGATTTGACCATGAAAGATCGAAAATTACGCGCTTTGCAGCTAAAATGTGCTTCTTGAACGTTGTTTTAGAGTTGAGGATGTTATACCTGTGTTTGCTTTTAAGATTGATTGCTTTCAACGTTTTTCAACCATATGTTTGAGTCAGTTTGACATGTAAACTATACTACCGTATATTGCGTGTTATGTTTTTTGCCACCTTTCAAGATGGCGCCCGCGAATAAAATTTGCCTCACCGTGACAACGGCAGTTAGATATCTAGAGGATTGGGTATAAGTCATTGACTGGGACCCACTTATCGCGAGTAGCTTTCACAAAGTTGACCCATCGCTTTCTCCTACGCTTAGCTTCGCTTCTTTCGTCGTTAAAAAATGGTATGAGATGAAGTGAAATGCCTTTCTCCAAACTGGCTACGTTAGAACAACCAAAAACTACACATCGATCTGGCATTTTTGTGTTTTTTCACATGCATAAACAGTGTAAGTTGTATTGGAAGTCAGTCTGTGTTCCTTAAATGACGTCACAAGTAAGTCCCATGCCACGGATTAGAGCTCTTGACATTTTTTACAAAACGTTGAAATTTAGGTTTTATTCGCATCTTTGCCAAAAGATAACTCAAAAACGAAAAAGTTATTCAAATTCTGTAAACGGCATTTGTATTATTTATCCAAAATCTATTTGAGAATAAAAAACTAAAAATAACTGTATGTGCATTTTAAGAGAGCTTCAATGCATTTTCATGAAAGTAAAAAGATTTTTATTTTGCTTCCACTTTATAGATTTACAAAGTGAGAAACATCGTCGTATGTTGTATTCTATGGAAATGGAGCAGATGGCAGAAAACGCCAAAACACAAATGGAAGACGTGAGTCATATTCAGACGGATTTTGTCACAGCGACACAGATTGGTCACGTGAAGACAATGTTCAAGGTACGGGGGGTGGAGTCTGGATAATGTTTGTGGTGTATGTAAGGATTGATTAACGAAGCGTTAATTGTGATGTCAACTTATACGGACAGTGCCAAGTACGGGGGGCGTAGATTTCAAAACAAGATGATATTCATCATAATCTTGTTAAAGAAAAGACTTAGATTTTTGTAATGAATGTTTGCGATGACGAAGAGTAAATCTGTTTGATAATCTAATATTTTAGCTGACCAATGAATGATTTGACCGGATTTTCTATTGAGATAATCCACTACTTAAGCTAAATCTGCTTCTTACAACCGGCCCCAGTCCCCATTGTTCACCATCTTGTTTTGTGTGTTTAGGGTTTCATGGAGTCCGTTTCTTGCCGCGTTCAGCGTCAATCTACAAGACAACGACGATCCTTCTGTTGCTTCATTTTGTCTTGATGGAATCCGCTGTGCGATAGGAATAGCTTGCATGTTCAGCAGGCCTGTAAGTTGATAAACACACAACATTCTGTTCATTTTAATATATTTGGGTATGATATAACGACATTAACGTCTCTGCATACCTTTTCATCCCCTGGTGACCCTTTCCCGGACATAAATATATATTCAAAAATATGTTGAATCTTGAATTGTTGAAATTTATGAATATATTTAAGTAGTTACATACACGTTGTGTTCTTTGCGTGTTATATGTTCAAGGTTTAGATGATACTCGTATGTATACAATAAAAACAGATGTTTGTTTACCTTTGAATTAATTGTCTGTTTTTGTACATACATGGATATATCAGGATGCATGTGAATGTGAAATAATCTTTACTTAAAAGTTTTTCAATGATTACAGTTAGTTATAATTATGTTAGAGAATATGAATGGAGATTCTTTATCATTAAGTTCATTTTTTGATACTCCTAATAACTTGTTTCACATTGTAGTTGGAAGGATATGCTTTCGTACAAGCGCTATCCAGGTTCACTTTACTTACTTCGACCAGTGGCACGCATATTCATAAAATGAAAACGAAGAACCATTGAGTTCTATAATAACTGGAGCGGCTATCTCAAGCGCGGCTTTAGATATCGGATGTTGTAAAAAAAAATGGCGGATTTCGTCCGTTGCCGCTGAGATTTACCGAAATTGACCGCTTTTCCGAAAATTTCACAATTTCCCACTCCCTCCTGAAGAAAGAGTGAGGAAAATGTATGTGTGTATTTGGGATTCGGCTAGCAATTTTTTGATGAAAATCACGATAAAAACCTACAATTCGTAACAGCGAGTCAACTGTGCTTGCTTTCCAGTCATCGGCTCCTGCGAGGAAAGCTATTAACTATAAACTATGTACGAAAGAACTCTTTGAACGTTTTTAAACATCGTGTCTAATATACATGTGCACGATGTGGACGATGTGGTCTCTTTTCAAGGTAAGGAGAAAGTCTTAAAGCCATGTCCAGCCGACAATTTAAAAAAGATAGTAAAAAACAAATTCTGAAGAAACAAGATATCTTGAGATGAAAAAATGTGAATGAAAACAAAACGCGAAGTGAACTGTAAATTTTCGATTTATTTCAAAGTCATCCTCAGATAGAATGATAATCCAAACCATGCATACACATATATATTTACAATGAATGAATTAAGTAACGAAAGTCAAGCAATAGAAATTAAATAGTTTGATATTTACGAAAGCGTAGTTGGAAGAGCTGTCATATTTTAAAAGGATGGATTGAAACAAGAGACCAGACTGGTGGAATGAGTGTATTGTAATTTAAGAGAAGAGTTCTAATTCTTTGCTAGCCTTAAGTCCCGTGTTAACAAACCATTTCTTAATATATGTGTATGCATGGTTTGGATTATCATTCTGTCTGTGGATGACTTTGAAATAAATCGAAAATTTACAGTTCACTTCGCGTTTTGTTTTCATTCACATTTTTTCATCTCAAGATATCTTGTTTCTTCAGAATTTGTTTTTTACTTAACTCTTAAAGAGTACTCTATATTCATATTTATGTCAATGTGGTAATGTATGTTAGTGCAATCAGACTAAGTTACACAACATATTTGCAATAAGAATTTTCTTTTAATGAAGTTTTGAGAAAAAAAACAATATATAATCTTTTTGTATTTCTGATAAAGATAACTAAATGACAAAAATAACAAATATTTAAAATTTATTTTCTCGTAAGGTTTATTGTACAGCTGCTGCAATTGTTCAGAACGTTTTTGACTGGTGGGTTTGCTTCTTTACAGTGCTTGGCAACATGGCCCAATCTTTTGCATATGTAGCAACGTCGTCCTGTTAAATATTCATAAGGAAGTTGTAGTTCATGACACTTTTTATTTATTTGTGACATTAGCTTATTTCTGTTAACAATAATGCATGCAACTTGAAGTTTTCAACCATGTAATCAAGCTGATGTTTTATCAATAGGTCAATTAAACTTACTTCTTCTCATACGATTAAACTCTATACAAAAAAAAAGTGTATATAATTGTCAATTACAATGGTCATGAAAGAAATGTTATTTCATTTTTTGTCATTACTTTTCTCGCATTCATTCATTTTGTGGCCTTTGTGGCCACAATTATAGCATCTTCCTTCATTAAAAAAAACAATAGCAATTATCAGCCTGGCATCAAAGGCAATTAGTACATGTATACACTATACCACACCTTTAAATGAATTTTTTGCTTTGGCATTGCTTTCTACATAAACAAATCATTTGTTAGGTGCTGTTTGATTTGTTATGTGTATGATTAAATTTCAGGTTAAAAGACTCATGGTGAAAAGACTCATGGTGAAAGACTCAGGTGAAAAGGATTCAGGTGAAAAGACTCAGGTTAAAAGATTCAGGTGAAAAGACTCATGGTGAAAAGACTCAGGTGAAAAGATTCAGGTGAAAAGACTCAGGTGAAAAGACAAAAGTATCATGAGAGAGCTGATGGGCATATATCATATATGAACGAGAACAGTATTGTATACAAAGCACTGTTTACCTTCTTTATTTTTTTGGTTTTCAGAATTGGAGCCACCTCAAATAGTAGTAGATTTTTAGCACATTTTGATGCATTGATGTATTGTGTAATAATGCAAAAAACAATCATTAAACAGTATAACCATTTTTGGCTAAATACACACTTGCATTTTCGTTATCTTTCTCTTCAGTTCCCTGACCTGTTTTGAATGCAATTGAACTATTTGAGTGATTTTCAGTTTTCAAAACAAAAACAAATTTTATACACATTTGATACCAGTGTCCATTGCTTTTTCCTCATCTGTATAATCTAGCATCTGGTGTTTTTGTATGCACAAAAAGGATAAAGTGTAAACAGATATTTTGCAAGAAGGGATTTAAACCATGTAACGATTTCATGCATTAACAAATGACAGAAAAGTATGCAGAATTTTATAAACAAAAACAGGAAAACATCAGTATATTTGTCGTTCAAGTCAGTCTTAAAAAATACGATCTGTAATATGTATTTTATGGCTTTTCAAGTGCATGTATAATTGCTATTCAATCGTTGACGGACTAACAAAACAAACAATTATCTCACCTGTGAGAAGCGATATGTTCCTTTTTGTGGAAACTACGACATCCAACAATTGAACGATTGAAGTGTTGGCATTATAAAAGAAATGCCAAAAAAGACATCGCAACAGAATATGGAACTAACGATATCCATATTCTGTGATATCCTGTTTGTTTTTGAAAAATTCTTTATAATTTACTATAGACACCAGGGGGAGGTCGAGAATATTATTTTTCTGCAAAGCGATCATTTCAGCGGAAATACGTCCGTTGGCCGCCATTTTTTTGGCATCCTCGCCCCAGTAAAGTTAGCGCCTCCAGTTATTATAGAACTCAATGCGAAGAACATAGAGACGATCAAGACACTTCTTACCATCGCTCAAACGGATGGTAATAACCATCGCTCAAACGGTTGGTGTCCACGACTGAAAATATGATTGATTGTTTTTTCATCAAAAGAAAAAGTTTAGGTCTTGTCTGTAGTGGAAACTTTACGATATTGCTACAGTCTTTACTTTCATTTTTCCAAGAGCTTTGATGACCGTATTCCATACCCTTCATCAGAGAATCGTATCAAAAATGTACATCTGTAATAAATATCCATAAGAAAATGAAGTTTTTTTCTAAAGATAGTTTTTATTTGAAGATGTTTTCTTTGCATGTGATTACCGTTTATGTTCGTCTTGTTGGACACTCGTTTTCGTTGCTCAAATGCTCGTTCCGCTCGGCGCATCTTATTACGTTTCCCTAAAGTCATTGTTTTCATTCTAGACACTGAAATGCATTTCCCAACTTGAATTGGCTCAACTTATCGGTACTGGTGTGAAAACGCGATACCTTCACACGGCGTCCAGCGGTGTTACTAATTCACCCACAGCATTCACCGCAAACAACAAGACATCTTATGATATAACCTCAGGTTGCTTCTAACATTGTTGTGACGCTCATAGAAAAATGTCAAATACTAACGTTGGGTGCTTTTCTTTGTTTGTATTTCTATGAAGGTCGGATGCCTGTTGCCGCTGACCCGAAAAAAGCGGCTGACTCACTGGAAGCCATTGGGGAGACCGCTGCACAAAATGTTGTCGTTGCAGTTGACAGGTAACGTTTACTTTAATGATGGCTATGTGGATTCTGTTTTGTGACCTATCTCCCACCCCAGGGGCGAAGCTAGAACGTTAATGCAGGGGGAGAGGTGAATATTCTTATATATTGTCATATATTCCGCTGTGACCAATTTCTTTTCAAATTAAAATAGCTTTTAAACCAAATCAGTCAGGCAAAACTAAATATATGAATATTCACCACTCCCATTCACCGTTATGGCTTCGCCCCTGCCCCCCTTGCAGGAATCTTTAAAATTTTCTTTAGGCTAGAGTGGGGCGTGTAACAGCAAGAAACGTCGATGGATGATTCTGTATGTAGACATGTTCATTGTCCTTGTTAGCAGCGTCCTGAGAATGACTGTTATTGTTATTGTTGACTGACGTTTTGACATCTTTAGCGGTAGTCATCTTCAGGCTCAAGTGAACCAGAGAAACTTGAACATAAACATAAAAATAAAATTTTGAAGAACTCGTGCACTGTCCATACGTTGTGTTCTCTCAACAGAATATCTTCATCTCAACTTCTTCATTGTGTTTTATTGCGTTTAGAGTTTTCAAGGGATCAGTGAAACTGGATGGTTATGCTATCGGTAGGTTTGCATGCATACATTAAAGTGCATCGTACATAAGAGTTTTATACATCTAACTTGACCATAATTCACTGACCATCCTTTATCCCAAGTACCCAAATCTCCAATACCCGAAATCTGAAGTACCCAAATTTCTATTACCCAAATCCCCTGTTCCCAAATACCAAATCCCAAGTAGCCCAAATCCCCAGTGTCCAAATCCCGAGATCTCAAATCCCAAGTATTGTTATCTCCTGTATCCAAATCTCAAAATGTTTTCGTTTTTCTCCTAAGTCGATTTCGTGGAAGGTTTACGTCAAGTCTCGGAAGTTAAGCTTTCCAATCCTACAATGATACGTATGTTTAGTCTGCAGAAGATGGTAGAGTTTGCTTATTATGATATGGGTCGTATTCGGCTGCAATGGTCACGAATATGGGCTGTGTTGGGAGATCATTTTAACAAGGTTAGCGATTATTAACGACTAAGATTGTATCTTGATATTATGGATAAAAACATCACGTTGTTGTGATGTACTCAGGTATAGTAACAAGATAATCATTGTCTTCAATGCTCTATCAACTAAACTATCAGATCAACTGTGAACTATGATGATATTTTAAAACACAGTTCTAGTTTCTTTCATATCTCAAGTATAAAAACAAGATAATCAATGCCTTCATCTCCAATGTTCTACCAACTATAGTACTTCTCTATCTTAGATAATTTATTTGCCATTTTAGTGTGGTTGTAACCCTAATGAAGAAGTTGCGTTCTTCTGTGTCGACTCTTTGCGACAATTATCCATGAAGTTCTTGGAAAAGGGGGAATTGTCAAATTTCCGATTTCAAAAGGATTTTCTCCGACCCTTTGAATACATAGTGAAGAAAAACAGGTAAGTTTATGCAGGAGTCAATTCTGTCAGAAAATGTAAAGTTTCTGGCAGCTTGAAAATCTTTCTCTCAAATAAACAAAATTGGTGGCAGACTTTGCAGATTCTTTTCCAAGTTGAAATTTTACGAAGAATTTTACAAAGGAAATCTTTCAATCAATCGCTCTGTTTTGTCTGTTATAATTGGAAGGATTTCATTAAAATTCTTTCTTCGATATTTTATGAACTTTTCAACAAGGACTGCAATTTTCAGTGTACGATTTGCTTGAATCAACAACTGGATTTTTCACATTTTAGTTCTTCCACAATTCATGATATGGTCGTACGATGTCTCACAAAAATGGTGCACTTGCAAGCCGCAAACATTCATTTGGCTGCGTCCGATCATGATGAAGGAATCGTGGAAGTCGCTTTTCAAACAACAGGTTTGTAGTTTAAGGAAGGAGGTTTTTCTTCTAATCTTACCGCCGTCCTGTCTGTTGTGCTCTTGGGTAAGTTTCTTGTAATGGTTCAAATTTTAAAATTTTAAAATAAAAATGGTTGCATATGTTTAAAGAAATGATGGTGAATCCGTTTCCAAGCTTGAACTACTTAGACATCTGTAAAATATTAAATTAAATTCAAATTGAATTTGAATATCGTTTAAGTAAATGTGTTTCTCGGATGTGACAGAGAACTTCGTTTATTTTGCAACAAGAATTTTATGTGTTCGTTCTTTTCCATGGCTATTCAGTCATATTCGTATAAGTTTTCAAGGTAAACTTTTATTTACCATGAAGTCGATGGATGATGGCCTCATGATGCATGAATAAAAATTAAACGAGAGTTAATGGAGAAATGAAATAGATTTTAAACATTTTTTCGTTGATGCAAATTACGAGTCAAAAGGCAGAGTTATTTAAACTTTTCTAGCCCTGTTTCTCTACTGTTTCAACGGCACTTGTAAATCAAAGCTTTGACAGATTCATTTTCTCTTTCAGCCACGATTTTTGAGAAATATTTCTCCGTGACCATCAACTCTTTCCAAGATGCCGTCAAGTGTCTCTCGGAATTCGCATGCAACGCAAGTTTCCCGGACACGAGTATGGAAGCAATAAGACTGATACGAAATTGCGCCAAATTTGTTTCCGAAAATCCTGTGGTACGACGATTGCAAATCTACTTTCTTTTCACCTTTGAAATGATTTAAAATTTTGCAAAATCACATCAAAGCTAACCACTTTGGATCAAATCAAATCCAAATCATCAATTTCAATCGCTTTTTCGTGTAGCATTTTCCAATGGCTTCTGTTTTCTTTTATAAACAGATGTTTAAAGACTACGGAGTAGAGGATGCTGGGATATCAGAGCAGGACAGAATCTGGGTGAAAAGCTGGTTTCCAGTCCTTTTTGAGCTTTCGTGTATCATCAACCGATGTAAACTAGATGTCAGAACAAGGTATGGTGGAAATATTGAGTTGTATGTACTGTATAGATTAGAATGTATTGTATAATTTGAATGTGAGCTATTTTCCATCCATCAACTAGAGGCCTAACCGTGATGTTTGAAATCATGAAAACATACGGGAACACGTTTCTCCAACATTGGTGGCGTCATTTGTTTAAAGTTGTGTTTCGAATTTTTGGCAACATGAAACTACCAGACAGACAGATAGATCATTGTCTATGATTGCCATAAACACACATTATATCGCAAAAAGTCAAGTTACATACACGACTATCCAGTTCCACATGGAATAATATTCATTTCATGTGTTCACGTCTATCCACCTTCATTCCTCATTCACTCATCCATTTCAATTGTGTATCCACTCCATTGAACTAAAATACATTGAATGCTACCTGTAATAGAAAACCGTAGTAATTTTTCATTCTGTATATCTACTCGTATTCACCTCATTCTCTCTCCAATCTTATCCTCTTGCTTTCCCTAATTACTCACCTATAGCATTTTGTGTAAACAATTTGTACCAGTATGGAAGGTTTGAAAGACTCGTTTGTGAAAGTTTCCCACCTGTAATGAATGCTTTTGCCTTTAAATCAGGAGGGATTAGTGTTAAACTGCGGGAAGGTCGTTTCCTTTACATAGAATAAAGTCCGTGTATAAGGTGTTGTATTTCCTCGTCATAAAATGAGACATCAGCTGAGGATGTTTTGAAATCTGTGATGTTTCTTTATAGAAATCAGAATGGATGACAACAACTTGTAATCATGCTCTATATGCTATCATCTATGTTTTTACTCAATATTTTGATATTCTTTCTGAAATTCTTCTTGATGTTATGTATGGCCATCTAGAATGGTGTGTCAAACAAGGTAAGCTTGAGTTCAAGCAACGTGTTTGTGCTTGGCATATGCCTTGGTGATTGGTTCGTTGTGTCAGAGTTTGTGATTGGTTTGAAATAACAGAGTTAGTGATTGGTTTGAAATATCAGAGTTTGTGATTGGTTTGAACTATGAGAGTTTGTGATTGGTTTGGCTTGAGGTACATTAGTATACAAGAAGTATTAGAGTTTCTTACAGGTTCGACTGTAAATGCTTTGTAACACCATGTCCTGCTTTGCTCGTTCATTCAATACATGTCTTTAGATAACGAGCAGTTGGCGAGGTCTGGTACCAATTGTTTGGAAAATCTCGTCATATCCAATGGCAACACATTCTCCGAAGACGTCTGGGAAAAGACATGTCAATGTGTAAAGACGATATTTGAATCAACCGTACCTCACGAACTATTGAAATGGAGACCCGCTGACCAACAAGTAATGAGTCTACCCACACCTGATGTCACTCTTGCATCATCACCACTTAAGGTAAGTTACTCTTAGGGTTTGGTTATATGAAGGGAAGTTGGCCCGGATAGCGAATTAGCCCGATGATTTCCAGGGTTGAAAAAACAATTTAATTCAAATGTAAAGGTTCATTTTGTAATTCTCAAATATTGCTTGCAAATTTTAAATGTTTTGCGTAGTTAAAATATTGTGAAATTGCTTGAAAATTTAATATAAGTATTGAATCGTTTCCATTTGCCAAAATTTTATTCTGAATTTTGTTTTAGTATTTATTTTTAAAGCCCGACACTCTAAAATTATTGACAAACTTTCATAACTATTCTGTTTGTTTTATGTATTTATTACCCTTAAAATTGACGTATATTGTAGATAATGTCACCTGTCGACCTGGAGGATGATATCGTGCCCAAATATCCGGAAGTTAAATAAAAAGTTTGTGAATTCTTTTAAAGGAAAGTTTTTGCTTCAATTGTCTCCATAATCATAAGTTTGGAAAATATTTCATGGTAAGCTAAAGTTCGCATATTAAAAAAGCTCATTTGAACCAAAAGCTCATATGAAGCAAAAGTTCGCATATTGCAATATAGCTCGTGTGAATCTTTAACTAGTATGGACAAACAGCTTGCATTCTTTGAGTAACAAGTGAAACGTTTTCCGTATTATTTTTCAGACGAGGACGAACAAGATGGTCAGCAATCGTCAAAAGGTTTGAATGAAACGGAGGAGGAAATGCCTCAAGAAACAGTTGAAGAAACCAAAGAACAAGACAGCATTAGTTTAAATAGTACGCCTAGTTTACGATTTGAACCTATCGAAGAACAAGAACCAGGTAACTATGTGTTAGAAATCAATTGAGATTAATAATTTTTTGTCACAGCCTGCTGCCATTTACGTGTTTAATTTACTTTGGTTTATTGGAAAGGCGTAGCAAAACGTATAATTGATATATGCGTTTGAAAAACTCAATCTGAAGTGAACAGCGACGTCATGTAACATTTCCTGAAAATGCTTATGTTCTAAAAATTTACATTTTTTGCAATGTTTGAAACAATAATGCTGTTAACTGTTACTAATAGAACTAATATTGTTACTAATTAGTAATTATTACTACTTCTCCTGTTAACATTTATTTTTCATAAAAATTGCACTAACTTAAGAAACTCATTTTTGTTTTATTTTTTTGCATTCGTTGCTTATTTTATTTTATTTTAGAAGACCTCTAATAAGATAAATTAGTCCTTTGTTTGGCATATTCAAAAGTTCAATTTTTACCGACAAATGAAAAAATCGTCTCAGCGTGAATACTGAAATGTTCAACCAACACCCGAGTGACATTTTTTAATTTTTTCATGTATGCACTTTAACGTCGTAAAATCATCTCATTATTTTAGTTGTGCAGACGGAGAGGATGCTGTTCAATTCATTGATCATTAAGTGTGTCGTTCAATTGGAACTTATCCAAATGATCGACAATGTCGTCTTTTTCCCAAGCACCAGCAAGCGAGAAGATGAAGTAATATGGCTGAATTACAGGTCAGTTGTAATTACGATCATTAGGGTAAGTAAGTAAGTAAGTAGTTTATTAAAAATATTACTTGCAGCCTTGCGGCTGAATTACAAATATCTAAATTAGTAAAGTTATAATAACAAATAATATCCAATATCTAAAATACAATAAAATCCTACAAAGTATTTACATTTATTAAATTTACAATTATAAAAATGGTACTCGCTAACACCAACAGAGACAAGGAAAACTCCATACCTAGCCACTTTTGTGTAACTTTATGTACACAAGGACAGGATGAACGAATTCTTTGCTCTGTTGGTGTGAGCAAGCGGAACTTTATATTTATGTTTACTTCTCAGGTTATTTTTACAGTTATTTTTGTTTGGCAGTAAATTTCTTAATTTGTGTTGTTCGTTTGTTTCAATTGTCTGGAAATAACGTTTACATAAATCTTCATGGTGTAATTCTATTGGTGACATATCTAGCTTTTTTAGCCTAATTTTATAGCTATTATAAGGAAATATTATTGATATCACTCTTTTTTCTTTTGTCATTGTAGGCAATGCTGAGATAAATCGTTTTGTCGTAATGTTGTTGTACTAGAGGTCCCCTTGGTGGCTTAACAAAGCTCTTAGCTGAAGCACAGAATATGTAATATACAGGAAAGACACTTGGCATCTTTAGTTGTTAGGAATAAATTTAATCAATGAAAAAGTTTGTCAAAAAAAATGTGCCCTCATTGTCACCATTGCACTTGACTGTACACAAGTAAGTTGTTTTTGTTTGATGTGTTAGGACACTTGGAGTCTTTAGTTGTAAGAAATAGATTTAATCTCGGAAACATTGTCATTTCATTGTCTCTAAGCCATTACAATTGGATAGCACAAAATAAAGTTGCTAAAGAACATTTTTTGTTATTTTCCTCCCAAATTCCTCCCAGAATAATCTAGAGGATCCATACTTCAAAAAATTTGTCATTAATGCTATCCTTATCTATCCACAGTACTTACTCATATCCAATCCTCCAAGTTCCCATGTGTCTTTTCACCAGAATCCTTTATCCCTCCATATGTCTATGTAGGTCATGTATTTATCTTATATAAGTTCTATATTTCATATTCTTTGTTCTTAGAAACTCATTGCTTATGGTCATTTTGTTGGTGATACATCAGACTCCATTGAAATAGAGAGGCGTTTAATTGACAGAATTATCGAGACTATTTGTAGTTGCTTTACTGGTATAAATAGTGATGTAAACGTTCAAATACAAATTATAAAGATATTTATAAAAGTAATCTTAAACTGTTAAAGTATTTAATGAGAGAAATGATATATCCTTGAGGAATTTAACGCTATGTTTCTTTTACATTTTTTGTCTAATTTTTTACTATTTTTAATATTACGTCACGTACACCAGATATAACATAAAGTTCACAAAAAATATTCTCGTACTATATTGAACTTGCAGGAACGATGTCTCTTTCAAGGGAAAGAGCTATTTGTTAAATAAATACAAGAAAAAATATGCTAGGAAGACAATTTGATCTTTCATAAAAACAGGACATTAATTTAATTTTCAAAGCCTTTATCAAACTTTCTATTTTATGAAGTTATTATAAATTACTTACAAAAATCATCACAGAAAAGAGTATCCAACCATGTATCAAAACCGTATGAGGTACAAACCCATATTTTTCAAGGAGATTAATGAAGTTAATCATCTATTGAATCTAAAAGCTTTGTCAAATTTTCGTAGATTCTTTGCAATACGACAATAAGAAATTGAAGGTCTGTTATGCCGATCGGTGCTTAGTACCTATTACATCAATACATCTCTTGATCTTTGACCCTGGAATTTCGGAAAAACAGTTTGACGATTTCCATTTGGACAATTTTTGGCCTTTATTCTCTTCAAATTTTTTTTCTAATATTTAAACTGGGGCCTGTTACTCGAAGCGTGGATAGCGTTATCCATTGGATAGTAGTTTTTTAAATTTGTGAATGTGCATGGTTATATTTTGTTTATGATGATGAAACTTTGTAATTCTAGAACCAATATTGTATTTCATTGATTGTCCAGTTCGAATCGTTGATTTTTCCCTTTTAAGATATTTTTGAAGCCCTCAAAAACGTTACTACTTATGTCAATGAATAGCGTTATTCGACCTTCGTGCAACTGATCTTTTCTCTGGTAATTTATTGGTAAAGTCTATGTAAAAAATATAAATCTGGTGAGAAACATATTCATACTTTTAAGCTGTATCCAGTTACAAGCTGTGAATCAGAATGATCTCGTGATGAGCCCATCCTTGCATTTGAATGATGTGTACACTACAATACGATTAAAGGGGTTATATCACGAATTTTAGCCCCCCTTTTTTATTAGCTTAATTGAAAATTTGGATTATTTGAAGAACTATGACATGTCGCTGGACTTAAACAGATAAATATAAGTTCCTTAATTTTGCCTCCAAAGTCGGGTACTTTTTGCGAATTTTTTACGACGCCAAATTGCAATCCTTATGTTTCATTTCACATGATGTTGTCTTCTTTCACTAAAGTTTTCATTTTGTCACATTTGCACGCTATCTTTGAGGAATTTGTAGAAACATTAAATGTTGCTTTGGATTTTGACCCAGTGTTGCGTTTTATTGTTTTAGACTATGATTCGTGAGCTGATTGGTGATCCAGTACAGTAAGTATGTTTTTCACATCTCCCTCGCGTGACAAACACGTGAAAATCACGTTAAGACCTTTGATTCTCATCTTAAGTATTTATTTCAACATAAATTGAGTCAAGAAAAGTTGATTATGTGAATTTCCCATGAAGCCCATGGTTGGTTTGCTCATGATACATGAAATAGTAAATCAGAAAATTTAATCGTAAAATCAAGAATGTTTAAAATATGTTTAAGGTTGCATTAAACTCCATGTAAAAGGACAAAAGCTGTTTGAAACTAAGCATTAACTTCAAATCTCTTGGTTATTTTGTCCATAAAAAACAAAACAATTTTTTAAATGCTCCAAATTTCTGTATCCAGTGAATAATATTGACAGAATTCAGTAAGATTTGCTACTGTTCAAACTAAGCAAACAATAGTAGACTTAGATCTATTTTTCGTCATGTCCTCAATTGTTCCTCATATCCTCAACTGTTCCTCGTGTCTTCCTATACTTCTTAGATATGAACGGGAGATAATGTACGCCTATATAGATCAGTTAGATTTCACTGGTACCAATCTTGTGCAAGCTCTGCGATTGTTCTTACATAACTTCCGGCTTCCCGGTGACGCGCGAAAGATCGATCGACTCATGGAGAAGTTTGCGAGTAGGCTCTGTGAAACGAACCCAAAGTAAGGACATGATTTGTGTCTTGTTATCTGTTGTTTTACATTTCGCATTGCATGCTGGATAGTGAAACTAACGAAATGACTTTTGTCTATGAACCATGTGTTAATTTTTTTTTCATTTAACATCAACAATAATTTAGGACTAGTTTTTGACGATTTTTGATTTTTTTTTAAGTATTTTCTCATCGAACTTTTATTATTCGAGTTTTGAGGGCTGCAATTTGCTGTAAAGTGAGTTGTTTCAACTGGAAATATTGTTACATGTTTGTAGATGTAGATCATCCAGGATTGTAGAGTCCTGAGAAGGACTTTTGTTGTTTATGTTGACTGACGTTTCTACAACTTTACTCATGTACAAACATGTCTAGATATAGCTAGGTTAGACTGTCTATGATAAACTTTTACTTTATATTTATCATTTATATTTTAGTGACGATGTGTTTGCTAGTGCAGACGCTGCCTACGTTCTGGCTTATTCTATCATCATGTTGACTACTGATCAACATAGTTCACAGGTTACACAGACTTACTTCATTTGCAATGGTTTTCTATAAAAGTGACTTTATGTCTAAGATTACGTGACTACATTGTGGTCACGCGAGATTTTCATCGCGTTAATAAGGAGCCTTCATTGGAATCACGTGAAAATTTAGCCTTCAGATGCGACATCGTAATCACGTGAAATTTTCTTTCAGGTTAAACTGAAGATAACGAAATAGCAGTACATTCAAATGAATCGTGGTATAAATGACAGTAAAGATCTTCCATCTGAATATCTTTAAGCAATTTATGATGATATTGCACAGAATGAAATCAAGATGAAACAAACACCAAAAGTGAACAGTAGATACGATGCTACATGTATGTATCGGAACATTAATACGAGAATCAAGGCTTAAATGATAAAATTGTACAGATGCTAGGTAAGGGTCTTGACTGCGAAGTGTAGAGTCCTAGTTCTGAGATGAAGGTGAAGGTTTTGAGATAGAGGTGTTGGTCTTGAGATGTGTGTAGGAAAGGGGCTTATAATGGATATTGTGATGTTCGGTGTTGGTCTTAAGAGAGCTCCAATGCATTTACATGAAAGTAAAGAGATTTTTATTGTGCTTCCACTTTACAGATTTGCAAAGTGAAAAACATCGTCGTATGTTGTATTCTATGGAAATGGAGCAGATGGCGGAAAACGCAAAAATACAAATAGAAGACGTGAGTCATATTCAGACGGATTTTGTCACGGTGACACAGATTGGTCACGTGAAGACAATGTTCAAGGTACGGGGTAAGTGGAGTCTGGGGGATAATGTTTATGGTGTATGTAAGGATTGATTAACGAAGCGTTAATTCTGATGTCAACTTATACGGACAGTGCCAAGTACGGGGGCGTAGAATCCAAAACATGATGACATTCATCTTAATCTTGTTAAAGAAAAGACTTAGATTTTATGTAATGAATGTTTGCGATGACTAAGAGGAAATTTGTTTGATAATCTAATATTTTAACTGACCAATGAATGATTTGACTGAATTTTCTATTGAGATTATGCACTACTTAAACTAAATCTGCTTCTTACAACTGGCCCAGTCCCCATTTTGTTTTGTGTGTTTAAGGTTGCATGGAGTCCGTTTCTTGCCGCGTTCAGCGTCAATCTACAAGACAACGACGATCCTTCTGTTGCTTCATTTTGTCTTGATGGAATCCGCTGTGCAATACGAATATCTTGCATATTCAGCATGCCTGTAAGTTGATAAACACACAACATTCTGTTCATTTTATTATATTTGGATATGAAATAATGACATTAATGTCTCTGCATACCTTTTCATCCCCTGGTGACCCTTTCCCGGACATAAATACATATTCAAAAATATTTTGAATGTTGAGTTGTTGAAATTTATGAATATATTTACGTAGTTACATACACGTCGTGTTCTTTGCGTGTTATATGTTCAAGGTTAAGATGATACACAAATGTATAAAATAAAAACAGATGTTTGTTTCCCTTTGAATTAATTGTCTGTTTGTCTACATATATGGATATATCAGGATGCATGTGAATGTGAAATAAAATTTTCTTAAAAGTTTTTCAATGATTACAGTTAGTTATAATGATGTTAGGGAATATGAATGGAGATTCTTTACCATTAAGCTCATTTTTCGATACTCCTAATAACTCTTTTCACATTGTAGTTGGAAAGAGATGCTTTCGTACAAGCGCTATCCAGGTTCACTTTACTTACTGCGACCAGTGGCACGCATATTCATGAAATGAAAACGAAGAACATCGAGACGATCAAGACACTTCTTACCATCGCTCAAACGGATGGTAATTACATCGGGAAGTCTTGGCTCGAGGTAGAGAGAATCATCTTGCTATATATTATGGTTGGTATATACGACTGAAAATATGATCGGTTGTTTTTTTCATCAAAAGAAAAAGTCTAGGTCTTGTCTGTAGTGGAAACTTCACGATATTGCTACAGTCTTTACTTTTCATTTTTCCAAGTGCTTTGTTGACTGTATTCCATACCCTTCATCAGAGAATCGTATCACAAATGTACATCTGTAATAAATATGCATAAGAAAAGGAGTTTTTTCTCAAGATATTTTTTATTTGAAGATATTTTCTACGTATGTATTTAACGTATATGCTCGTCTTGTTGGACACTCGTTTTCGTTGCTCAAATGCTTGTTCCGCTCGGCGCATCTTTTTACGTTTCCCTAAAGTCATTGTTTTCATTCTAGATACTGAAATGCATTTCCCAACTTGAATTGGCTCAACTTATCGGTACTGGTGTGAAAACGCGATACCTTCACACGGCGTCCAGTGGTGTTACTAATTCACCCACAGCATTCACGGCAAACAACAAGACATCTTATGATATAACCTCAGGGTTCTTATAACATTGTTGTGACGCTCATAGAAAAATGTCAGATACTAACGTTGGGTGCTTTTCTTTGCTTGTATTTCTATGAAGATCGGATGTCTGTTGCCGCTCACTCGAAAAAAGCGGCTGGCTCACAGGAAGCCATTGGGGAGACCGCTGCACAAAGTGTTGTCTTGCTGTTGACAGGTAACGTTTACTTTATTGATAGCTATGTGGATTGTGTTTTGCGACCTATCTCCCACCCCAGGGGCGAAGCTAGAACGTCAATGCAGGGGAAGAGGTGGATATTCATATATATGGTCATATTTTTCGCTGTGACCAACTAATTTCTTTTCAAATTAAAATAGCTTTTAAACGAAATCAGTCAAGCAAAACTAAATATATGAATATTCACCTCTCCCATCAAGCGTTCGGGCTTCACTCCTGCCCCTCCCCCCTGTCCCAGGAATCTTTGAAAATGTCTTTAAGCTAGAGTGGGGCTTTTAACAGCAAGAAATGCTAATGGGTGATTCTCTATGTAGACATGCTCATTGTCCATGTTAGCAGAGTCCTGAGAATGACACTGTTATTGTTGACTGACGTTTTGACATCCTTAGTGGTAGTCATCTTCAGGCTCAAGTGAACCAGAGAATCTTGAACATAAACAAAAAACTAAAATTTTGAAGAACTCGTGCACTGTCCATACGTTATGTTCTCTCAGCAGAATATATTCATCTCAAATTCTTTATTGTGTTTTATTACGTTTAGAGTTTTCACGGGATCAGTCAAACTGGATGGTTATGCTATCGGTAGATTTGCATGTATACATTAAACTACATCTTACATAAGATTTTTATACATCTAACTTGACCATAATTCACTGACCATTCTTTGTCCAGGGTACCCAAATATCCAACACCCTAAATCCCAAGTACCCAAATTTCTAGTACCCAAATCTCCTGTTTATAAATACCAAATCCCAAGTACCCAAATCCCTTTTTCCCAAATACCAAATCCCCAGTATCTAAATCCCCAGTTCTCAAATCCCAAGTACCGTTATCTCCTGTATCCAAATCTCAAAATGTTTTCGTTTTTCTCCTAAGTCGATTTCGTGGAAGGTTTACGTCAAGTCTCGGAAGTTGAGCTTTCCAATTCTACAATGATACGTATGTTTAGTCTGCAGAAGATCGTAGAGATTGCTTATTACAATATGTGTCGTATTCGGCTGCAATGGTCACGAATATGGGCTGCGTTGGGAGATCATTTTAACAAGGTTAGCGATTATTAGTGACTAAGATTGTATCTTGATATTAATAATAAAAACATAAGGTTGTTATGATGTACTCAGGTATAGTAACAAGATAATCGTTGTGTTCAATGTTCTACCAACTAAACTATCAGATAAACTGTGAACTATGATGATATTTCAAAACACAGTTCTTGTTTCTTTCATATCTCAAGTATAAAAACAAGATAACCAAGGCCTTCATCTTCAATGTTCTACCAACTATAGTACTTTTCCATCTTAGATACTTTATGTGCCATTTTAGTGTGGTTGTAACCCTAATGAAGAAGTTGCGTTCTTCTGTGTCGACTCTTGGCGACAATTATCCATGAAATTCTTTGAAAAGGGGGAATTGCCAAATTTCCGATTTCAAAAGGATTTTCTCCGACCCTTTGAATACATAGTGAAGAAAAACAGGTAAGTTTAAGCAGAAGTCATTTCTGTCAGAAAATGTAAAGTTTCTTGCAGCTTGAAAATCTTTCTCTCAAATAAACAAAATTTTGCAGATTCTTTTCCAAGTTGAAATTTTACGAAGAATTTTACAAAGGAAGTCTTTCAATCAATCGCTCTGTTTTGTCTGTTATAATTTGAAGGATTTGATTAAAATTCTTTCTCCGATATCTTTATGAACTTGGCAACAAGGACTGCAATTTTCAGTCTACGATTTACTTGAATCAACAACTGGATTTTTCACATTTTAGTTCTTCCACAATTCGAGATATGGTCGTACGATGTGTCACATAAATGGTGCATTCGCAAGCCGCAAACATCAAATCTGGTTCGAAGAATGTTTTCTCCGTTTTTCATTTGGCTGCGTCCGATGATGATAAAGGAATCGTGGAACTCGATTTTCAAACAACAGGTTTGTAGTTTAAGGAAGGAGCTTTTTCTTCTAATCTTCCCGCCGACCTGTCTGTTGTGCTCTTGGGTAAGGTTCTTGTATCGATGCAAATTTTAAAATGTTAAAATAAAAATGGTTGCATATGTTTGAATAAATGATGGTGAATACGTTGCCAATCTTGAACTACTTAGACATCTGTAAAATATTAAATTAAATTCAAATTGAATTTGAATATCGTTTAAGTAAATGTGCTTCTCGGATGTGACAGAGAACTTCGTTTATTTTGCAACAAGAATTTTATGTGTTCGTTCTTTTCTATGGTAATTCAGTCATGTTCGTATAAGTTTTCGAGGTAAACTTTTATTTACCATGAAGTGGATGGATGTTCGCCTCATGATGCATGAATGAAAATTAAACGAGAATTAATGAAGAAATGAAATAAGTGTGAAACATTTTTTCGTTGATGCAAATTACGAGTCAAAAGGCAGAGCTTTTTAAACTTTTCTAGCCCTGTTTCCCTACTGTTTCAACGTCACTTGTAAATCAAAGCTTTGACAGATTCATTTATCCCACAAGATTATCAGTGTATAAATTTCACATTCCCCATTTTCTCTTTCAGCCACGATTTTTGAGAAATACTTCTCCGCGACCATCGACTCTTTCCAAGATATCGTCAATTGTCTTTCGGAATTCACATGCAACGCAAGTTTCCCAGACACGAGTATGGAAGCTATAAAACTGATACGAAATTGCGCCAAATTTTTTCCCGAAAATCATGTGGTACGACGATTGCAAATCTACTTTCTTTTCACCTTTGAAATGATTTAAAATTTTGCAAAATCACATCAAAGCTAACCACTTTGGATCAAATCATATCCAAATCATCTATTTCGTGTAGCATTTTCCAATGGCGTCTGTTTTCTTTTCTTTAATAAACAGATGTTTGGAGACTACGGATTAGAGGATGCTGGGATATCAGAGCAGGACAGAATATGGGTGAAAGGCTGGTTTTCAGTCCTCTTTGAGTTTTCGTGTATCATCAACCGATGTAAACTAGATGTCAGAACAAGGTATGGTGGAAATATTGAGTTGTATGTACTATATAGATTAGTATGTATTGTATAATTTGAATGTGAGCTATTTTCCATCCATCAACTAGAGGCCTAACCGTGATGTTTGAAATCATGAAAACATACGGGAGCACGTTCTCCAACATTGGTGGCGTGATGTGTTTAAAGTCGTGTTTCGAATTTTCGACAAAATGAAACTACCAGACAGACAGATAGATTGGCAGGAGGTTAGAAAACTGTCATTATTGTGCTCTTATTATATGGCAAGCGTCACTTCCGGCTAAATGGCGCGTTTGATTGGCTCAGAAACATTTTGCCGGTCCATTATTCTCCCGTAATCGACCACGGTTCAAAACACGTAGTTTATAATATGTCGTTATTGTGGTCTTATTGTCTATGATTGCCAGAAACACGCATTATATCGCAAAAAGTTAACTTACATACACGACTATCCAGTTCCACATGAAATAATATTCATTTCATGTTTTTACGTCTATCCACCTTCATTCCTAATTCACTCATCCATTTCAATTGTGTATCCACTCCATTGAACTAAAATACATGGAACGCTACCTGTAATAGAAAACCGTAGTAATTTTTTGAAGCCAAATTTTACGCCCAGACACGCATGTGTAGTTCAATCAATTTTCACTCCGCGAGAGAATCTCGAAACACTAAACACGCGTGTCTGGGTGTAAGATTTGGCTTCAACTAATTGCTTCATGTAGCGTTCCATGTATTTTAGTTCAATGATCCCCTCATATCTTCCTCTATTTTTTATTCACTTCTATCCACTTTCATTCTAGACACATTTCATTCTGTATATCTACTCGTATTCACTTCATTCTCTATCCATTCTTATCCTCTTGCATTCCTTATTTACACACTGATTGCATTTTGTGTAAACGATTTGTACCAGTATGAAAGGTTTGAAACACTCGTTTGTGAAAGTTACCCACCTGTAAAGAATGCTTTTGCCTTTAAATCGGGAGGAAGTAATGTTAAACTGCGAGAAGGTCGTTTCCTTTACATAGAATAAAGTCTGTGTATAAGGTGTTGTATTTCCTCGTTATAAAATGAGGCATCAGCTGAGGATGTTTTGAAATTTGTGATGTTTCTTTATAGAAATCAGAATGGATGACAACATCTTGTAATCACGCTCTATATGCTATCATCGATGTTTTTACTCAGTATTTTGATATTCTTGCTGAAATTCTTCTTGATGATATGTATGGCCATCTAGAGTGGTGTGTCAAATAAGGTAAGCTTGAGATTTCGCAAAGTGTTTGTGCTTGGCATATGTCTTGGTGATTGGTTCGTTGTGTCAGAGTTTGTGTTTGTTTTGAAATATCAGAGTTAGTGATTGGTTTGAACTATGAGAGCTTGTGATTGGTTTGAACTATGAGAGTGTGTGATTGGTTTGAATTATGAGAGTGTGTGATTGGTTATGTTTGATATATATTAATATACAAGAAGTATCAGAGTTTCTTACAGGTTTGAATGTAAATGCTTTGTAACACCATGTCCTTCTTTGCTCCTTTATTCAATACATGTCTTTAGATAACGAGCAGTTAGCGAGGTCTGGTACCATTTGTTTGGAAAATCTCGTCATATCCAATGGCAACACGTTCTCCGAAGACGTCTGGGAAAAGACATGTCAATGTGTAAAGACGATATTTGAATCATCCGTACCTCACGACCTATTGAAATATAGACCCGCTGACCAACAAGTAATGAGTCTACCCACACCTGATGTTACTCCTGCGTCATCACCACTCAAGGTAAGTTACACTTAGGGCCTGATTATATGGAGGAGAGTTGGCCGGATAGCGAGCTAGCCAGATGATTTCAAGGGATTGAAAAGAGCCAAAACTTCAAGGTTAAAAATTACAACTGTTTACGAAGCGCCTAACGTTATTCCGGTTGTAATTCTCAAATTATGGCAAATTGGTTGTTTTGATTTTAAATGTTTTGCGTAGTTATTAAATCAGAATATTGTGAAATTGTTTGCGAAGATTTATCTGATGATAAGTATTGAATCGTTTCCATTTGCCAAAATGATTTAACACTTGGCTGAATCCCGGCTACCGGGATCATGTTATCAGCCCTTTAGTATTTTTATGAAGTTTTAAAGCCCGACACTCTAAGATTATAGACAAACTTTCATAACTATTCTGCTTGTTTTATGTATTTATTACCCTTAAAATTGACGTATATTGTAGATTATGTCACCTGTCGACCTGGAGGATGATATCGTGCCCAAATATCCGGAAGGTAAATAAAAAGTTTGTGAATTCTTTTAAAGGAAAATTTTTGCTTCAATTGTCTCCATGACTATAAGATTGGAAAATATTTCATGGTAAGCTAAAGCTCGCATATTAAAAAAGCTCATTTGAACCAAAAGCTCATATGAAGCAAAAGTTCGCATATTGCAATATAGCTGGTGTGAATCTTTAACTCGTATGGATCAACAGCTTGCATTCTTTGAGTAACAGGTGAAAATTTCCCGTATTATTTTTTAGACGAGGACGAACAAGATGGTCAGCAATCGTCAAAAGGTTTGAATGAAACGGAGGAGGAAATGCCTCAAGAAACAGTTGAAGAAACCAAAGAACAAGACAGCATTAGTTTACATAGTACGCCTAGTTTACGATTTGAACCTGTCGAAGAACACGATCCAGGTAACTATGTGTTAGAAATCAATTGAGATTAATAATTTGTTGTCACAGCCTGCTGCCATTTACGTGTTTAATTTACTTTGGTTTATAAAGAATTATCACTGTTTGAACTAATAATTTTGCTAATTAGTTCTCCTGTTAACATTTATTTTTCATACAAAATAGCACTAACTTAAGAAACTCATTTTTGTTTTATTTTTTGCATTTGTTGCTTATTTTATTTTATTTTAGAAGACCTCATATAAGATAAATTAGCCCTTTTTTGGCATATTCAAAAGTTCGATTTTTACCGACAAATGAAAAAATCGTCTGAGCGTGAATACGGAAATGTTCAACCAACACCCGAGTTACATTTTTAATTTTTTCATGTATGTACTTTAAACGTCGAAAATCATGTCATTATCTTAGTTGTGCAGACGGAGAGGATGCTGTTCAATTCATTGATCATTAAGTGTGTCGTTCAATTGGAACTTATCCAAATGATCGACAATGTCGTCTTTTCCCAAGCACCAGCAAGCGAGAAGATGAAGATACTATGGCTGAATTACAGGTCAGTTGTAATTGCGGTCATTGTAGGTAATACTGAGATAAATTGCTTGGTTGTAATAATGTCATAGCAGAGTTCCCCTTGGTGGCATAACAAAGTTATTAGCTAAAGCACAGAATAAGGAGCTTTAGCAAAGACTATGAGTACGATTTACGTCATTTTGACGCGAAAACATTGTAGCGACAACAACAACATGTAGCCGTCATCAATCTGAGTACGATGTTTTGTAAAAAATTTGTGGTCGCGACTACGGTGTCTTTTAAGCAAAGAAAGTAGGTATATTTTTTCATTCTGTAAGAAATTAGTTTACAGTACTATTTTCGAGCATCCAGGCTTTAATTTAGAACCTTTATTGAGCGCAGATGTACATTTAAAAGGAAAATATGACCTGCAAAACTTTCATGTATTTCGTACGCAAAGTTAAAGGTATAAATAAACAATAAACTAGTACAAATATATCGTACATAAAACTTAAAATAGTGAAGATTTTTCAGTCTAAAGAGTCGTATAATCTCACAAAATCAGTATTACCGATTCGTTTATTTCATTATTGACAAATAGAGCCGTAGCTGCTTCGCAAACTTCGGTGTTTTACACAATAAAAAGGCTCGTTGTGTTGTTTACAACTAAAGCAAAATTTTGACGAAGCGACAACGACAACAAACTTCCTCGTGCTATTCCCTTACACGGTCAAACTTCGTACTCGTTGTCGTAGTCGTACTCTTGCTAAAGCTCCTTAATATGTAATATACAGAAAAGACACTTTGCATCTTTAGTTGTTAGGAATAAATTTAATCAATGAAAAAAGTTTGTCAAACAAAATGTGCCAGGATTATTACCATTGCACTTGACTATACACAAGTGAGTTGTTTTTGTTTGATGTGTTAGGACACTTGGAGTCTTTAGTTGTAAGAAATAGATTTAATCTCGGAAACATTGTCATTTCGTTGTCTCTAAGCCATCACAATTGGAAAGCACAAAATAAAGTTGCTAAAGAACATTTTTTTGTTAGTTTCCTCCTAAATTCCTCCCGGAATAAGCTAGAGGATCCATACTTCAAAAAATTTGTCATTATTACTATCCTTATCTATCCACAGTACTTACTCATATCCAATCCTCCAAGTTCCCATGTGTCTTTTCACCAGAATCCTTTATCCCTCCATATGTCTATGTAGGTCATGTATTTATCTTATATAAGTTCTATATTTCATATTCTTTGTTCTTAGAAACTCATTGCTTATGGTCATATTGTTGGCGATACACCAGACTCCATTGAACCAGAGAGGCGTTTAATTGACAGAATTATCGAGACTATTTGTAGTTGCTTTACTGGTATAATTACTGATGTAAACGTTCAAATACAAATTATAAAGATATTTATAAAGAGTAATCTCCAACTGTTAAAGTATTTAATGAGAGAAATGATATATCTTTGAAGAATTTAACGAGGGTAACGACATATGTTTTTTACATTTTTAGTCTAATTTTTTACTATTTTTAATATTACGTCACCTACACCAGATATAACATAAAGTTCACAAAAAATATTCTCGTACTATATTGAACTTGCAGGAACGATGTCTCTTTCAAGGGAAAGAGCTATTTTTTCTATAAATATAGGGGAAAATATGCTAGGAAGACAATTTGATCTTTTATAAAAACAGAACATTAATTTAATTTTTAAAGCCTTTATTAAACTTTCTATTTTATGAAGTTATTATAAATTACTTACAAAAATCATCACAGAAAAGAGTATCCAACCATGTCTCAAAACCGTATGAGGTACATACCCATATTTTTCAAGGAGTTTAATGAAGTTAATCATGTATTGAATCTAAAAGTTTTGTCAAATTTTCGTAGATTCTTTACAATACGACAATAAGAAATTGAAGGTCTGTTATGCCGATCGGTGCTTAGTACCTATTACATCAATACATCTCTTGATCTTTGACCCTGGAATTTCGGAAAAATAGTTTGGCGATTTCCATTTGGACAATTTTTGGCCTTTATTCTCGTCAAATTTTTTCAAATTTATACTGGAGCCTGTTGCACGAAGCGTGGATAGCGTTATCCATTGGATAGTAGTTTTTTAAATTTGTGAATGTGCATGGTTATATTTTGTTTATGATGATGAAACTTTGTAATTCTAGAACCAATATTGTATTTCATTTATTGTCCAGTTAGAATCGTTGATTTTTCCCTTTTAAGATATTTTTGAAGCGCTCAAAAACGTTGCTACTCAGTTCAATGGATAGCGTTATTCGACCTTCGTGTAACTGATCTCTTCTCCGATAATTTATTGGTAAAGTCTCTGTAAAAATATAAATCTGGTGAGAACCATATATGAACAATGAACATGATTATTGTTTACTTTACAGCTGTATCCAGTTACAAGTTGTGAATCAGAATGATCTTGTGATGAGCCCATCCTTTACATTTCAATGATGTGTACATTACAATACGAAGAAAGGCAAAATTGAAGAAATATTTCAATATAAAACTGTGACTCTACGTTATGAAACGAAATAATAAGTGTGGAAAAGAAGAAATAGTCGTTTTGGTCATATTTGTTGAGTAAAATTGTGTAAAACATTGATTTTAAAGCCGTATTGTTTAGCTACTCGTTATCGCTATTGTATAAAAGGTTTGACTAAATGGCAGAATACTCGTCCACTTGGATTCATTGACTGTGCATCCACATTTTCAGTAGATACACAGATGATATTATGCCGTATATAAGACGATTCTAACTTCTGAGAAAAGAAAAATCAACGTGAAACGAAACTATAAGCTAAATAGCGCTACATCTATTGGACAATACGATAATATATATTTATGCTTAGTATATCAAATTGCGTTTCATCATATAAACACAAATGATCTGTTTATCTATCAAAACGACTATATTTTAATATTTAAATCAACCACGAACGATTTGCATCAATTATACATTACCACATTGATAGGTAATTATAGATTTATAATGCCATTTTCGCACAACCTAAGCGTTCTGTTGTGCGGGATGCTCGATCATGATTCTTTTGACGACAAACGTTGGTTCATTACCACGAGTATTAAAATCAAAAAATGCTTATCCAATTCGTCTTTTCAAGACTTCAACTCAATGCGTTACCATGCATTAATCAAATGCGTCGATAAAATGCGACCATCAAAAATGCGTATTGAAACAACCTGAAACAGCGTTTGCAGCCTCTGTATATACTAAACATTGAACAATATAAAATTACAAAGTTTCCTCTTTGCCAGGATTGGAAAGAAGGTCTTCCTCAGCAACTCAATGCTTTAAACTTCCCATGACAAGTGCATGTACGTAATTTAACGTAAATAGTTCACATTTTACCATGCTCTTACTTCTTTAGTAATGTTCATGCTTACAGAAAGAGAAAGATACTTCACTTGTTTTTATTATTTATGAAAATTTCTTCGCGTATACTATTTTATACTGATAAGTTTTACATCGTCCATATTATTATTGATAAATTGTTTGACTAAATGGCAGAATACTCGTCCACTTGGATTCATTGACTGTGCATCCACATTTTCAGTAGATACACAGATGATATTATGCCGTATATAAGACAATTCTAACTTCTGAGAAAAGAAAAATCAACGTGAAACGAAACTATAAGATAAATAGCGCTACATTTATTGGACAATGCGATAATATATATTTATGCTTAGTATATCAAATTGCGTTTCATCATATAAACACAAATGATCTGTTTATCAACCAAAAAGACTATATTTTATTTTTTAAGTCAACCACGAACGATTTACATCAATCATACATTACCACATTGATAGGTAATTTAAAAATTAAACGAGACTTACCTGTAAGTTGAAGTTTGATTGTAATTCTATGAGTTATTGGACAAGGAAACTAAGGAGTCATGTGAGATATGCGCACGCAGATCGAGGAATCAGTTTTCAACGCTGCGAGTGATTTCAACAGCATTCACCATTTAGGGCGGGTGCAATAAGATTTTTTACACTAAACATCCCTCCAATATAATGGGGGGGGGTGACTCCTTAGTTTCCTTGTCCAATAACTCATAGAATTACAATCAAACTTCAACTTACAGGTAAGTCTCGTTTAATTTTTAAATTCTATTTCGTCATTGGACTACGTCACTAAGGAGTCATGTGAGATATTCAAAGTGTTGTGATCACGAGCTTTAACATAATCCCAAATGTATTGACAATTTTTTCAACAACACATATAACTATACTTCTCACTATTAAAAAATTCGTGCTTAGTCATTGGAACCATTTAATAATGAACAACCGAAGTCGGCTTTTGTTTTTAATGGCTTATTGTAATATTTTTGAAATGTTGAAGCATTAGACCACCCAGCTGCTTCCATAATTGCTTCAATTGATATGGTGCTTTGTTTGCAGCGGACGAGGATGCTGCTCTTGTGCTGTAGCCAGAAAAATCATTTATTCCGGCCAGCTTTAGGATTGTTTTAAGCCATCTCGAGATAGTGTCCGTGCTTGCTACATTAAAGGGTTTTTGGAAACAAATTAACAACTGTTTGGAATTACTTCTAATAGTTTTGTTCTTTCAATGTACTCCGTAAGGAGTTTGAACGGACAAAGTGTTACATCTGGGTCATATTTCTTAACTATGAAAGGCTTTAGGTGTTTCCCAGGCCGAGATGTTTTTAACAATTGGTCGAAGGTGAATACATACTTATCATCCTCCCGAGATATATTGTCCAGTGATAAGGCTTTAAGGGTTTGGCACCTTTGAGCAGAGATGAGGGCTAACATCATGGTCAGTTTAAGTGTTAGCTTTTTCAGCGTCAAAGTTTCATTTGGCTGCATGGTTTTTAAGTATTCTAGCACTATTCGTACATCCCAGATTCTGGTGTACCTTGGTAAGGCTGGACGATTTTCGAAGACTCCTTTAAGGAATCTGCAAACCAGTGGGTGTGTTCCAAAACTAGTACTATCTGATAACTTACTATCGATGATAGCGCACTCCTTGCAGTATTTAGTGCACTGTACCCAAGCCCTTTTTTGAACAACTCCGCAAGGAAGTTTATCCCTTCTTCTACAGTGGGAGAAAAGGGATTGATATGCCGTTGATAACAATATTGTCTCCATCTTTCCAAATGCCCTTCATATTGCTTCCGTGTGCCTGCTCTCCATGCTGATTCCAGGACTTCCACAGCTGTTGTCGAAAGTCCTCGGTCTTTGAACTGTTTCCTGATAAGTGACACACTACTAGCACTAGTTTCTCGTGAAGAGGATGTTTCTCCAATGGGTTGCTGGGAAGAATTAGTGTTGATGGTGTTTGTGGTAGCAAGATTGGTGACTGCATCAGCATTCTCATTGCTACTGGCCACCAGGATTGAGTTGGCCACTTTGGTATAATAAGCAGTCCCTCCGACTTCTCTTTTTGAATCTTTTGTAGCACCTGACTAATCAAACAAAAAGGTGGAAAAGCGTAAAATTGATAACCCAGCCATGAATGATGGAAAGCATTGACTGCAATTGCTTCCGGGTCTGGGGTATATGAAATGTATGGCTTTAATTGGCAATTAATTCTGGAGGCAAAAAGGTCAATGTTTGGCTTTACATTTAGTTTCGTACAAGCCCTATGAAATATGTGTTTATTCAGGCACCACTCAGTGGTGCGCCTGGCCTTCCGAGATTCCCTGTCTGCATCGACATTCTCCTTGCCAGGAATACGGGCAACTGTGATCCAAACCTCATTAACAATGCACCAGTCCCATATAGTTTTGATAAGACTGTTCAATAATGGAGAGTGACTTGTTCCCATTTTTTTAGGGTATTTTGAACCGTAGTGTTATCAACTAGTACTTTTACATGCATTTTCGTAATAGATTTTTGGTGTGACTTGAGACCAAAATACACTGCCAGCATTTCTAAATAGTTAATATGAGATTGACTCTCTTCCTGAGTCCAGAGCCCTCCAGTTTTAATGTTATTTATAGCACACCCCCAGCCCACTTTAGATGCATCTGTGGACATAGTTACATGCGGCTCTGGTCTAGAGATCAGATTGTTTGATCTTTCTACATTGTTTATCCACCATTCCAGCTCCTTTTTTGCGCTAGAGGATAACTGCATGTGAGTATCATAATTTCCCTTACATTGTTTTAGGGCTTCCGCTTTCTCACCCTCTGTAATCCGAAAATATAAGGGCCCATACATTGCCCCTGCAAATGTAGAGATAATAAACCCAATAACCTGGGCAACCTCTCTTATTTGAGGTATCCTACAAGAGTGTAGGTGGGTAACAGCCAATTTTACCTTCTTTGCTTTATCTGGTGTCAAAGAAACAGTCATAGTTATTGAATTTAGAATAAAACCAAGAAATACAATTTTTTGTGTTGGTATTAACACAGATTTTTCAGGGTGAGTGACAAAATTTAAGTTGTCTAAAACTTTAACTGTCTCAACAATGTTTGCTGCACAGTCATTAAAGTTATCACCTATCAAAATGGAATCATCAATATAAGGTGATGATATATGACCCTTTTTCCGTAATGATGAGTACACAGGCTTAAGCAATTTTGTGAATTTTCTTGGTGCTAATGCTAACCCATTAGGGAAGCAAGTAAATTTATTTAATTTACCATTTCTATCGAATTTTAAATATTTCTGATGTTCAGCACAGATACGTACTGAATAATAGGCATCTTTTAGATCAACTGATGCCATGTAGCAGTTTGGTTTCATTAGACTAATAGCATTCCAAATGGAGTCCATTTTGAAGTGCCTATATACCACATACTTATTTAAACTTTTGAGATTTAATATCATTCTATGAGACCCATCAGGTTTTGGTCTTAAGAAAATGGATGAAATAAATTCATTTGCCTCATGAGCCGATTCAACTATGACACCCTTTGCAAACAGCTTTTTTATTTCCTGTGCAACACAACCATTCTCGAATGTTGTGAATGTATTGGGTTTTGGTGCATGTAGTTGGTGAGGTAAAGCGTTAAATTCAATCTCCTCACCCAAGACTGTATGTAAAACCTCTGAATCAGAGGTGAGTTTGCGCCATTCACAAAGTTTGTGACTTAACTGGCCTGCTTGAAAGCGTTTCACTCGTGAGTGTAAATACCTGACTAATAAAGGCAAGTCTCTCTCTAAAGTACTGACCTGTAAGTTTGTCATGATATTTTTGTTTCTTTCACTATTGGCCATTACTGGTATTGTTGCTGCTTGACTGGAAAGGTTGATGGCTTTTTCGATGGGTATGTCGACCTTGGTGGGTGTTTCTTCCAATTCAGATTGTTGGATAAAAAATGGTTCTTTCTTGGTTTTCCCTGTGAGGAGGAATTGTTGGTACCATGAGAGTGAGGGCGGCCATACTGCCTGACCTTATCAAACCTTTGAGGCACTGTTGCCTTGCTGATCTTGTTCGATGCCCTAATATCATTTAGTTGTGTTTGAAGGTTATCCCCAAACAAGTAAGTCGTTACTGGCACATGTGATGCACAAAGGCTGCTATAATCCTTGTTTAAATTTGGCCTAATAGCGTCGCGTCGACGCATTGATAGTTCACACATTGTGTGGCCAAGAAGTGCCAAGGCATCGGTATTCATTGTGATCAGTTTATCAACGTCTGGGGATTCTTTACTACGTATTTGTAGCAATTTGTCTGTCGTGAAAGACAGTACGGCGCCAACCTTCGCTATTGTTTTCTGCGTGTTAGCAGTGCGAAGGTCGTTGTGCTTGGTCTTATTGTCAAGCTTGTCCCATATCTCAGCGTTAACGCGAGGGACAATAAATTTTTCACAATTACTTGGTCTTGAATACTTTTCCATTTTTTCTTTTTGTTTTGTTTCTGGGAGCTTGTTTGACCATCGTTTGTTGACAATATCAGCAAGTTGCTGGTTTATATTGTCGCCAACCTCCTCTTCTTGCTCCAAGTCGTGCGAGATTTCTTGTAGCAGAGCGTCATGTTCGCGTCGAACACATGTGGCGCTTATACTACCTTCATTTGCCGAGTCGGCATCAGGTTCACTTTCTCGATGCAATCCTTCTGCATCACCGTCAGTGTAACCTTTGTCTATTTCCATTAGTGAAGTTACACGTCGTTTTTTGCTTGGTCCTTCGTTCAAGCAAGGATCCTGACTGTCGGACTGCAACCGTTTAATGGACTGTCCATGTTGATAATTTTGCTTGACATTTTCTCTACTTTGTCGACGAGACTAGCCAACACTTCTGGCATTGATATCCCAGGTGGTGTCGCTTCTTTCATACCGCTTGGCTCTTCTTCCAATAGCCGTCTTTCCAATTCGTCAGCTGATGCCATGATTTTCGCTCCTTTGTTGATTTTATTCGATAAAAACAACCGTTCGCTCGAAGACTACGCGGGCAACTGATTCCTCGATCTGCGTGCGCATATCTCACATGACTCCTTAGTGACGTAGTCCAATGACGAAATAGAATTATAGATTTATAGTGCCATTGTCGCACAACCTAAGCGTTCTGTTGTGTGGGACAGGGGCGGATCTAGAGTATGTCAAATCCGTCGCGCGACTGATGTTTGAAACTCAAAAATTACCTATGCATATTAGCTAAAAATTCATTAATTATTCTTACTTTATTATCGCATTTACTTAAAAATCCAGCTTTATTTATTATTGAAAACTAATGACTAACCATGAATATCTCCTTGGTAACCAGATCAGTTGAATTTTAATTGACCTGGAATAACCGACTGATAAGCGGGGTGGCTTGACTGGTTCGACTTATAAGGGAGTCTAAGAACGCCAGAAACGCTATTTTATTGGTCAATGGCCAGATCAGTGGACAGTCTGGAATAATCTCGACCGATAATAGGGGTGGCCGGACCTATAAGGGAGTCCACTTGCTATCGTGTAATTGGTTCGTTTAAATTTTTGTCTTACTGTGATTGGTTTGACCTATTTCGACTGATAGCCAACTGAACTAACATAGTCAAGCTCACTGTCTGAATTGAATGTTTGATCGTTTCATAATAATTTTCTAAAGCATGATAGAAACTAAACTACAATCAGATGGAATTTATGGAAATCTTTACAAATTCATATGTTGACATGAATGCTGCTTTCCAAACTGGGAATTTTTCAAGAGGGCGAAAAATTTATGGATGAATTGTAAATGCTTGGCAAAGACGATCTCGCGAGCGACATTTCAGTCATTGATGTTCAAAAGCAAGCCAACATTGTTTTGAGTTTTATCAGCAGAAATTTACATCCAAAATCGTAAGTAAAGGACAACTGAAGTGTATGCATGAATGTAATATATCAAAGTCAATTTATGCGAGTGTGTGATGCGATTTATGTTAATATGGCGTATGGTAAGCAGATTGATGCTTCTAAAATTGTTGTTGCCGAAGGACTTTTAGCTATGATTTCTTTAGTGCTTAGGAATCGTGACCGTATATGGCAGCGAAATCCTACATTCCTGCAAATATATTTCAATGGACAAAAATCTGTAGCCATAAGGCGCCATACTATTATTTACTTTATCATAAACAAATGTTTGGGGCTTTTCAGTTTATGATCATTGATCATTCAATCATTAGACAGTTATACTACATATTGTTTAAGATTTGAGAAAACTAACATTGATTACATGAGAAGCTGTTTACTATAACCTGTGATTTTGAGTCTTCTGATCCATGAAGCTTTTATTTTGACAATTTGACTGGAATGGTATTAAACCTAGTATTTCACATACATGAAATGTTGTCCCATGTCACATATTGTCCCCTTTTCTAACTGAACACCTCATGTAGAGATGTAAAGTTGTGTTAATCTACGGCTCATACCAGATTGTTTGCCATAAATTCCAAAGGGCTATTGATGTATGAAAAGCATTTTCTATAAAGTAAAAATGTCTTCCTATGTATGCAGATAAACCTTGAAATTTGGCAAAACAGCAAAGTATTTTTCATGATCACTAGGTAATTTTTCTGATGATCATTATAACTTCTAAACTAAATTATTTCAGATTTACATTTAAACGAGCTTTGATCATATGAAAAGATATTTATCATAACCAGTAAGCATGACACATGAACCAATTTTAACATTCATGTAATTATATAATTAAAGACATGTTGGTTACATTCTGTTTGTAATTGATATTACAATGCTACTAGTGATTGCTATATAGCACACCTTGAAGAAGATAATAGTCAAGTGAAATGCCTAATAAACATTTATGGCATTCAGCTGTAATCTGCAAATTTTCACTCTGATAATTTTTGCTTAATCTTTGGCAGAAAAAAATTTTGAGTTTTTCCTCAAAAGGTGAATTTGCTAATACTGATGTGGAGATGGGTAAAGGGTTACAATAAACTTGCATGGTTTGAAGTCTGAGCTTTTCTATATCTATGAACTGTCACTTGTAGTACCAAATTTCTAACTTAACTCATTACATAGAGGTTTGAATGGGGTCTCTAGGGGGGTCTATGCCTGACAACTTGGTAGAAATTTTTAAAGGCTATATCTGTTTTTCAATATAGCATTATTGTAAAATAAATTTTACGTTCCTAGACATGCTAATGAGCCATATATTTGGCATAATAATGAGCCTAAATATTTGGCAAAACATTCAAGTATTGGTCACTTCATTTTTTTTTTTGAAAAAAAACGTAATCAAAATGTGTTGTATTTATGCAAAAACGATGCCCAAAAAATACATTTTGTAATGCTCTGAAACGCTGAAAATGGCATTTTTAAGGCTCTGAAATTCAAAATTTCTCAGGAGAGATAGCCTCAGACCCCCCCAGGTGCGGAGCGCCTCCGATGTTTTATGACTGATGTTTGAAAAATCCTAGATCCGCCCCTGGTGTGGGATGCTAAATCACGATTCTTTTGACAACAAACGTTGGTTCATTACCACGAGTATTAAAATCAAAAAATGCTTATCCAATTCGTCTCTTCAAGACTTCAACTCAATGTGTTACAATGCATTAATCAATTGAGTCTATAAAATGCGACCATCAAAATGCGTATTGAAACAACTAGAAACAGCGTTTGCAGCCTCTATATGTACTAAACATTCAACAAAATATAAAATTACAAAGTTTCCTCTTTGCCACGATTGGAAAGAAAGTCTTCCTCAGCAATTCAATGCTTTAAACTTCCCATGACAAATGCATGTGCGTAATTTAACGTAAATAGTTCACATTTTACCATGCTCTTACTTCTTTAGTAATGTTCATGCTTACAGAAAGAGAAAGATACTTCACTTGTTTTTATTATTTATGAAAATTTCTTCGCGTATACTATTTGATACTGATAAGTTTTACATCGTCCATATTATTATTGATAAATTGATAAAATTTACGACAAGCCAGGTCACGTTGCAAGAAAAACTGTCTGTTGCTCGTTTCTTTGGCTGTTTTTCAGTTTTTCCAATTTTTATGAGCACAAAATGGTTAAAGCCACAAAGAATTCAACATAATTTATGTATTTTTTAATGATCCTTTTATTCGTTTGAAAATGACTGACTCAAGTAGTACCAACTATTGTCTGACTATAGCTGCTGATCTTTGGTTTGGGAACTCAACCTTTGACAAAAAAAATGGCCATTTGGATCGATATTTGGATACATTTTGGCCTATTTTCTATTCTAATAATTTTTTTGAATCATATTCTTAACTTATTATAAAAGTCTATGTAAAAATATAAATCTGGTGAGAACCATATATGGACAATGAACATGATTATTGTCTACATTTCAGCTGTATCCAGTTACAAGTGCGGAAATGAATCAGAATGATCTCGTGATGAGCCCATCCTTTACATTTGAATGATGTGTACATTACAATAGGATTAAAGACAAAATAGAAGAAATATTTCAATATAAAACTGTGACTCTACGTTGTGGAACGAAATAATAAGTGTGGAAATGAAGAAATAGTCATTTTGGTCATATTTGGTGAGTAAAATTGTGTAAAACATTGATTTTAAAGCCGTATTGTTTAGCTAACTTGTTGTAATGTAAGGTTTGACTAAATGGCAGAATACTCGTCCGCTCGGATTCATTGACTGTGCATTCACATTTTCAGTAGATACACAGATGATATTATGCCGTATATAAGACGATTCTAACTTCTGAGAAAAGAAAAATCAACGTGAAACGAAACTATAAGATAAATAGCGCTACATCTATTGGACAAAACTATTATATATATTTATGCTTAGTATATCAAATTGCGTTTCATCATATAAACACAAATGATATGTTTACCTATCTAAACGACTATATTTTATTATTTAAATCAACCACGAACGATTTGCATCAGTTATACATTACCACATTGTAGGTAATTATAGATTTATAGTGCCATTGTCGCACAACCTAAGCTTTCTGTTGTGCGGGATGCTAGCTCACGATCCTTTTGACGACAAACTTTGGTTCATTACCACGAGTATTAAAACCAAAAAATGCGTCGATAAAATGCGACCATTAAAAATGCGTATTGAAACAATCAGAAACAGCGTTTGCAGCCTCTATATATACTAAACATTCAACAATATAAAATTACAAAGTTTCCTCTTTGCCACGATTGGAAAGAAGGTCTTCCTCAGCAACTCAATTCTTTAAACTTCCCATGACAAATGCATGTGCGTAATTTAACGTAAATAGTTCACATTATACCATGCTCTTACTTCTTTAGTAATGTTCGTGCTTACAGAAAGAGAAAGATACTTCACTTGTTTTTATTATTTATGAAAATTTCTTCCTGTATACTATTTTATACTGATAAGTTTTACATCGTCCATATTGTTATTGATAAATTGATAAAATTTACGACAAGCCAGGTCACGTTGCTAGAAAAACTGTCTGTTGCTCATTTCTTTTGCTCTTTTTCAGTTTTTACAATTTTCATGAGCACAAAACGGTTAAAGCCAGTAGCGTAGTCGCGTCAGCTAGTCGCTTTGAAAGTTCAACATGTTGAACTTTTGACTTTGGTCGCTTCAGTCGCTTTACACTGATTGGCCAATAGATACATTTTAACTTCCTAAATGCATATCATATTCCCTGTCATAAGCATCATACGAAATTTATAGATTATACCTTGGAAAACGAAGGCAATATATAGTGAATTCACACTGGAATCTTTCAGTTTTTATATGACTTATCAAATAGGGACAATAGAAGTTACAAACTGGAATCCTAATGCACAACCTAGATGCACAGAATAAGATTATCCACGATAAACGCGTAATGGGCTAGAATACCACTAGATCATATTGGCGTGTTTTAACTGGCTTGTTCTCTTTTCTCCACATAGTAGTTTGTACTGCGTAAATATTCATATATTAGTAGCTATAATAAAGGCCCAAATAAAAAGTCTAAGTGATGTCTGTGTCTGTAGCAAACAGAAATCACCGCCATGTTCAATAGACGCCACGGTAAATGTCGCGATGGTTGCTGCATGTGTGTTTCTGGCTTTCAAGCGACTGACGCGTGCGCATCAATTCGCTTTGGAGGTGCGACTGAAGCAACTGCCTAGTGTGTTTCAGCCTTAAGCTAAATGGCGCTATGTTTTATTGGATAATACGATAATATATATTTATGCCTGGTTTAGTAAATTGCGTTTCATCATATAAACACAAATGATCTGTTGACCTATCAAAAAACGATTTGCATCAATTATACACTACCACAGTAATAAGTAAAAATAGATTTAAAATATAATCGCACACGCAGTACTCTCATGATAATGCACAATTAAATTTATTTTAATTGATAAAAATTTTTGACAAAAAACTGTCCGTTTTCCTTTTCTTTTGTTGTTTTGCATTTTTTGATGATCCTTTTATTCGTTTAAAAATGCCTGACATGGAAGTCGACTAATTCACTGATTTCAAGAATCACAGGATTTTATCATCAAAGAGGAATCAAGTTAGAAAGAAAAACGCTTGGATTTCTTACACATAAGATATTTATTTGTTTTGAATAAAAGTGCGGTTTTTATCTTTGGACAGCAACTTGTGTCAATCGTTTCGTTTGATGTCATTTGATAAATTTTTAAACATTTGCTGTATGAAATTAGAAAATCAGTTCGATTTTGACGAACAGCTTATTTTGCTCACATTGTCACATTCAACATATGAACATTATTGATGTTACAATAAGGTTTGAACTATGATCACCATTTTTAAACTGATATGTATGTGGTCGCGTTCTTTATATTAAATCTTTCATTTTTTGTTAGGTATGTAACATGTAAAGAACGAAAGCAAGCATAATTTGGTCGACGAGGTTGTCATATATGAAGTCCTACTTCTAAAACAAAGGTAATTTTACAAAAGTAAAGCGAGATTTTATATCTAAATTATCGACTTAACCAATTTGCTAAAGAAACATCTAGATGAAGTATGAGTAAACATGCATGAGAAATCATATCTAAGTTTATATTTCAACTTTCTAACAATTGCCCATAAGCTGCATGGTAAAGAAACAGTAAAACCTGTTCAAAAGTATAGGGGAAGGAAAAATAACAAGAGAATATTTTCTTTATATAGGATGCTGAATTTTTCTTTATAAACTGTAACACTAGTGCCAGTCACCAAGAATCGAAATAATATTGTTGTTAATGTAAACTTACGAACGCGTAATCTATTAGTAATTCTAACTCTTTATCGAAAATATTCGAATCATTGCGATCTGGATATAAATGAGAACAATCGGTAATGATATTTTACTTATATTCTGTTGTTTTGTTTGTTGTTTGTTCATTTCCTATCTAATTCTAAGTACATTTTCTGTATGAATCTATTTGACATCTACTATCAATAATACCAAACGTCCTTATTATTAGGTGCTTCAGATACCCAGCTAAAATCTTTTTCCCATTTGGAATTGTACTTGCGGCCGCTATCGTAACTTGATTTCCATTTTAGCATTTTGAAAATTTTATAACGAAAAAAAGAAAGTTCCCAAACAAACAACTCTACACCTCTAATCACAGCCTGATTTTCACATCTGTTAATACTAAGTAAATGTTTGTTATACTAACAAAGCACAAATAGGACATGAAATATGATATATTGATATGTTTCACGAATACTGCACGTGAATTAGCACGTGATACGCCATTAACTAGAATCGAACATTGAACTATTGAACAGCAGAACTACCGATTGAGAATTACGATAATAAGAAGGAAACACATATTAGAGACAGAAGTGTAAGAACTTTGTGAACAGAAGAACCAAGAGCTGCCCTAGAGTAGAGATGCAAATTTTCTGTTAATTAAAGTTATGTATGATATTAATTGCTGGGAAAAGGTTGTATTTGAAGTAATTTCCCCTAGAGCCCAACGGTCCGCGAAAGAATATAACGCGAAAAGGCTGATATGAATTCTTAACTCTTGCTTTATTCTGGCGTGTTTCGTGAAATAGGAAACAAGTTATTTTGTGCAATAATGACATTAAACATTAATTAGAAAACTATGAGTGTATCATGCAACACAATTAAACATATTTTCAAGTGAAAATGCAACAGAGCTGAATATTGAATAACAAATCAGGCCGAGGAAGAGCATAAGTACTGGGTACAACCACAACAGTACTCATCTGATACGTCATTATCAGTCAATTACGAGTAATATAATTAATAATAAAATTTCATGACATCAAAATTTGAAAAGGCCAAAATAGGCCAAAATCGATTTGGCCGGCTAGCTTAAATTTTCCCGGCCAAACAGGTTTCAAAAAGGCCAAATTTCAGTTATTTGGCCGATAAAAGGCCAAACTGGCAACCCTGCCAAACGTTGCGTGCGGATGCCAGAACTTTTATGCTGAAGGAGTTATATAAACTATACTTGTCTATAGAAAAATGGGAATACATGAAATGTTATGTAGGGACATATACAATTATACATCACCTCCCTTCTTTGCTGACGCCACTTTTGACTAAACTCTGTGTGTCTTGAAAAAGTTTGATGATTGTATTGAACAAACCATTTATTTTGAAAGTAAGGAAATTGGCAAAATAAGAAATGGTTACACACAGGAAGAATGTATTTACACAGAGGAAGAACGCCACCAAATCTATTATTTCTAAAACGAAGTTAATTTGTCAAAAGTAAAACGAGATTCTGAAACTCTATTACTAACTTGACATAAAAAATTTGCTACTAAAGCATCTCGATAATGTACGACTAAACATTCAAGAGAAATATTGAAGTTGATACACCAACTTTCTAACTAATGACAATAAGCTGCATGGTAAAGGACAGTAAAACCTTTTCAAAACTATGGGGGAGGCAGAATAACATGAGAACATTTTCTACATGTAGGACGCTGAATTTTTATTTATAAACTATACTTGTCTATGGAAAAAGGGGCATCTGTAAAAATTTGAAAAATAAGCAAATGTTAAACACAGAAAGAATTTATTTACACACAGAGGAAGAACGCTACCGAATCTATTTTTGTGAAATGTGAAATTATGCAACACAGTGAGCTTTCAAAATTATATTTTTGATCATATGTTAGCTTAACAGTGTTAAGGTTTACTTTTATTGCATCCTTTACTGTTATATGTATAGTGTTTTTTATTGATCACAAGTAATTACAATTGCGCGCAGTTGATAATTAAAATGCATTGATGATTTACAATGGGTTATTCAATAACAAAGGTCTTTTTATAATATGAACTGACTTTTGCAATAATATACATGTATGGAATTTTTGATTAACGAAGTAAAAAAATCCATTTAAAGTTTCAAACAATGTGTCTTAATCATTCACATTCAAATCCTACTTTAGAAAGGTGATCCCTTTATTCCTGAGTTGAAACTTGTTAAACTTTATATCATTTAACAGTAGTCCTTTGGAATTTGACTAATCTCAATGTTATTATGTGCTCTACATGAGGTTCTTATTTATGTATTTTTATTTCTATAACAATTGTTTTTAGTCAGTGATGTGTATTTAGTTATAGAATAATACTGTTTGTTGAAGGAGATCCTCACTCACTCTTCATCTTAGTTCGTAATTTGAATGTGTTTATGTAACAAAATTCATATGGATAAAAAGTTGATGTTTCAATAATGTATGAATTATGATCACCATTTTTAACTGATTTGTATGTAGTCGCGTTTTTTCTATTAAATTTCTTATCTTTTGTTACGTACGTAACATGTAAAGAACTAAAGCAAGCATAATTTTGTCCACACGATCGTCGTATATGAAGTCTTATTTCTAAAACAAAGGAATTTTACGTAAGTTAACCGAGATTTTGTATTTATATTTCTAACTTAACAAATTTGATACCAAAGCATTGCGTAGTATGAAGTATGACTATAAACAAATGAATGTTTATTTCCATTCCAAATGAAAATCGTTTGAATGATTCTATAAGTGACTTTTAAAGCTATATTTAATACCACGACTGAAAAGTAGGTTACATTTTTTGTTTCAAGTTATCACTATAAAAATTGCGGCTCTTACACGAAGGAAAGTTTTAATAACGAATAATTCTGAGTCAGTGATGCGCTTGACATTCACAGATGCCACGTCATAATGTGATATTTTTTTAAAATAAATTAAACTTAAGTAAACAATACAATGTACAAATGTAAAGGAAAGATAGGTTCCAGGAGTCAAAATGAACTCATGATAACGTATATATTTCATCATCAATCATTTTGGACGTAATTTATTCTTAGATGGGCTTTGATTTAGCATGTACACTGAGAAACTGAAATCAAGATACTTGTTTTGTTTTCCAACGTGTCTAACAACACAAAGTCGAGAAATTTTCACTGACTGTCAGGCCAGGCCCGCCGTGAGGTAATAGGCAAAAAGGCATTTTGCCTTGGGCCAATAATATAGTAGGGGCCTGCGCCTCCCCATTTGGACACATGAAAATTGCAAAGTTAAAGATTATAGAAAAAGTAAAGAATGTTTTGTGTATTATTTGTACTTTTCTTACGTTATCTAATCATGCAGAAGACATTCATCAATTGCTAACTTTTTAGAAATTCTCGTAGCATCTTTAAACGGAATCACGCTTTAAGTGTTATCAGTATGAGCAGGCATATGGCATACTGTATTATAACAATATAATAATTTATCACTTGTTAGTTTTTGTTGGCTGTGCATGCGCGACTAACCACTATGCCATACTGAAAAAGTTTCTGAGTGAGGCAGTGAGGCAGGCAGTGTTTGCTCGTCGTGATATCCTCGGCTGTGTCATCGGTGTTAGTCGCATATACGAATGATCACTAATAGAATTTTTTAAGTAAAGTCAATACTTATGTTATTTCCATAATTTCGTTAAAGCACTATTGCTAATGCGCATTTAATACAAACGACACGTTTTTTGAAAATAGACATGTTTCGACATCTCATGATGCCATCTTCAGTATGAGTGAATTACATATATGTTTTTCTTCAATTACTTATGCTTTAGAGCGTATAATCTGCACTTTATTTTAGTGACTATAGTCAAAACCTTGCAGCTGAAAATATTATTCATTTATACGCTTTACTGGTGATTACAGACGTCAAATATATCGTATGGGGGACTACTGCAGTTTAGCGGACACCTTGGACGCTGACCCAAACTCTACCTTATAATCCCATGCAAAAACGAGCCCGCAGTCACAAGCGCTTCGGGTGTCCGCTAAACTGCCGTCTATCAAAAATATAAATTGGAACAGAATCATCAGCAATGTAGTCCTATCAAAATGTTAATAAGCAAATATTCATACAACATAGCAAACCAGTTTGATACATCCTGTTAAAAGAACGACGTATCTCTTCACCACACGATTGTTAGACAAATAAGATATATTATTTATTAACTAGGAGTTATTATCGCAAGGTATATGCTGCCTCTCGCGTTGAGTAGGCGAAAATATTATTATTTTAAGTGTTTTTCATTGTATAAAATCTACTATTTTAATACCTTGATGTAACATCAATTACTGGGTCATGTCACTAGGCAATGAACACAATTTTTATCGAGAGAAAGAAATGAAGCACACAAGTCTTTATAAATGACTTGTAGTACTATTTTTAATTTATCCTTTTAACTTTTGTGAACATTTTGTACATTTTAAGTTATACCTTTTTTCACAAACTCATTCCTTATTTCTAGAATAAAAAATGGTTTCGCCGCCTAATAAATTAAATATTGAGGAAAATGGATCTCGTTGTGCTCATTTTGTACATTGCAAATTGATGCTTTTTGCACAAACTCGTTCTTCATTTCAAGCTTGAAAAATGGCTTCATCACCTCAAAAACTGAAGTTTGAGGCAAACGGATTTCGTTTAAGTAAACTTTTAATCAATAAAGGAACACAAGCCTTAAAAACAACATTGCAAATCATTATAAATCTTCAATCATCAAACTTGAAAGATAAACTTAATGATTCTTCTAACAAGAGTAAATTGACATCATTAAAATTCAAAGTCATCAGCAAGGAGCAATGGAACCTTCTTTACCCATCAACTGGCTCACCTGACATTGAAAACTTTGATATTTCATTATTGACTGTCTTATTGCGTAACATATGTGGTCTAACAGCGCCACATGGTGGATGGAATAATCTTCCTTCCTCTTCAGATACTTCAATCTCAGCAAACATTGCAAGAATAAAGTTTTATCGAAACAAAGTGTATGGTCACATAAGCACAACTAGTGTAGATGACAGTGAGTTTGAGTACTTGTGGCAGGAAATTTCAAAAGCGTTGGTTGGTCTGGGTATTCAACAAACTGAAATAGATGAATTGAAGGAAGCTCATCTCAGTCCTGATGAAGCAAATTATATTGAAATATTAAAAAACTGGTGTACTGTTGCTGTGAAAACAAAAGAAGATGTGGAAGATATAAAAAATGATGTAGCTGAAATTACACAAGTGATGGCAACAAAAGCTGAGGTAGCAGGAGTAAAAGACATATTGCAAGTCAAAACATGTTCAGATCTCAAGAAACTTGGAAAGTGCAATTTCAATGGTGTTATAAAAGATCTTAACAAGAAATACCTTGAAGGCACTAGACAATGGTTATTTGAAAAACTCGACACTTGGTTTAACGATAGAAGTGAAGATGCTTCCAATGTCATGATTTTGATTGCCGGTCCAGGCGTTGGTAAAAGTGTGTTTGCTGCTGAGGTGTGTCGACGATATTCTGAAATGAAGAAACTTGCTGCTTCTCATTTCTGCAGATATAATAGATCAGATTATAGAAATCCTCGAATTTTGATAGAATCACTGGCTAGTGGCATGTGTGATACAATATCAAATTTTAAAAGTAAACTGAATGAAGAATTACAGAGAAACCATTCCAAAGAATCGATCACCGACGCATTCCGTGTTTTATTAAATGATCCATTGCATTCATTAGAAGATCATGAACCAATGCTTTTGGTTATTGATGCCTTAGATGAAAGTCAAGTTGAGGGCAAAAGTGAATTATTGGAATTGATTACTGATGAATTTGGCCGACTGCCTAAATGGATTAAAATCTTCATCACCAGTCGTCCAGAACTTCCTGTTAAAATACAATTGAAAGACATGAATCCTGTAGAAATAGAAACTCAACCTCATGATACAGAGAACAAATACGATCTTTGCAAGTATTTAGCACATGAGTTGAAAGTTAATTTCATCATTGCTGACAGGTGGCACGAAGACAGTGGCTTTGGAGACATTGATGAAAATTGTTGCTCACTTGGCATTGATGACGTTTATATGTTTCCTTATTCCAAGTACGACTTTTTTCGTTTATTAGTTAAAAAATGCGAGGGTTCGTTTCTGTACGCTTACCACGCACAACAGAGTTTAAAAAAAGAAAAAACTGAGCTAACTGTCGAGAATATTAAACAATTGGTTCCTACTGGGTTGAGTAAATTTTACACAGAACATTTCAAGAGATTAAATAATTTATTGAAAGGAATAAGTTTATCAACACCCAATACCGTTATTTCCGATAAAAACTTTACGGAATGTCTTGAAGTGTTGGTGACTTATCAAAGTACTTTGCCTTTGTCTTTTCTTTTTCAATGTTTAGGTTTTTCTGATGACATGATGTTTAAAGATCGTATTAAAATACATGAAGTGCTATCTCAATTTTTTCCAATTTACGATGATTATTTGACCGTGTATCACAAGTCTCTCATTGATTGGTTAAAATCAGATGGTTATGAAGAGCATGAGTTTACAGTTGATCCAAAAAAGGGTCATAAGTTCTTATGGCATGCCTGTGAGAAAGTGTTTAAACAAATTAAGTGGATGAACATTTTTAAAGATCAAATGAACACTGCTATGATTCAATATGCTTTGAAGAATGGAGTCCACCATATGATAGAATGTGGCGAAAATGTTGACTTTAGCTGGGCAGTAGATGTCAAAGTGGTTTGTGCGAGGTTTATGTGTGTGAAAGACTTTGACCCGGATACGATTAGGCCTGAATTGTTTGAAATCATTAAGGAACGACGTACTTTCTTGAAAAAAGATGTACTTGAAGAACTAATATTTCATTTCTTTGTGAGAATAGAGGTGCCATTTGTGTTTAATGCAAGCTTAATTTATTTACAAATTATTGCAAACAGAATTCATGGCAGTAACGAAAAAAGATTATTGGCAAGGAATTTATTGAAACAAGGAATGCTTGTTTGGTTTGAGGATTTAGACTCAACATATTTAACAAACCATCATAATTTGACTGTCTCCTTGCGTGCTAACGTTACATCTCTTTGTGTGTCATCCAATGAAGAACTTCTTGCTGTAGGATATGAAAATGGTCAAATATCTATTTTTGAACTTCCTGAATTTATACAACGTTGCACTCTAGGCATTGCACTCGATGATTCAAGGTTGGATAAATGGGATGATGTAGACACATTTATGTCCCTATATGACAAATATTACGATCCATTAACAAAGAAATTTGGTTTTGTACAAGGAAACATATATTGTTGCTCCTTTTCACCTACCGGAAATAGACTGGTAACTAGTGATGGATCTACTGAAGTAAAGTTGTGGGACGTTAACAATGGACGTTTGTTATTATGTTTACAGTCAGATGATGTCGTTAATCGTTGCTCTTTCTTAGATTCAGGTTTGTTTATTACAGCAAGATATGATGGAATTTCTTCTAAAGATGTGTTCACTGCATGGAATTCATTAACTTTGCAAAGAATTGATCGACGCTGCGTTGTTGATTACCAAAAACTACAATGCACCGATAAATATTCAGAGTTCTTTGCTGCAGAATTCGTCGAGACTTCGTATGATTTTCAATTCCACCAGGCAATCGATATTTTTTCAACTGAAATGGAATATTTACTACATTTACATTCAATGATAAGACAACATTATCGTGATTGTATTTTTTATCATACAAGCCAGAATGGAAAGCTTTCTGAAATCACTCAGTTGACAAAATACAACGATCAAGGAGAAATCGTGTTTTGTTTACCATATGTTAGGTGTCCATGTGTTGATAGGATTCTTGACAAAGTCCATCCAATCTCGTTTAAGGAATTTTACGTTGCGCCGTATCTTTCCAAGCTTAAAATTTTCAAAACTGATCATCTTTCAAAACCTTCACTTGTTTTTAGAGAATATAAAATTAAATGTTGTTGTTTTTCACCGGATGGATCTTTTTTGGCTGCTTTCGCTGTTGGTGACCACGTCAACATTCATATTTGGAGCATTGAACGTTGCACTATTATTCAAACTGTACCAATGCAACTGAAGAAAGCAAAAGGATGTTGGTGGTCAGATGGCTTACTGTGGATATGGGATGGTTCTGATCATCTTACGAAGATATCAACTTCGTCTGAAAATTTTGTAGAGTCTACTCAAGCAAAGCATGTTAACATTGGATTTAAACCTAAGAAAATCTTAACATTTGGTGATGTCTTGGTTTGTATTGACAAAGAAAAGTTTGTTCAAGTTGTTAGAATTACCAAGGGTAAGATACAATACAACAAAAGACTTCCTGTTGATAGTTCAAAATTTAAAGCAGCAGCTGTATCACCTGATAATTCTGTTATTTTAACTGTAAACAAAACAGAATACACATTATGGAAATGGAGAAATAACAACAATGAACTTTACCTGAAACATTGGCATACTGCAGAAATATCCATAACACCTGTCATTGAAAAAGTTGTTCGAGAACAGATAACTGTAAATGATCTAAAGTTCAACTGCTGTATAAATGATAGTAAACAAGCAGTCATAGCATTTTCCATAGGCGTCAGATGTATGGGCATTTATGTAATTAATGTTCACGAGAATGGTGATGTGAATGCGATTTTGCATGATGTCAGTAAATTTTATTTGGACTCTAACGTAATTGTACACAAATCTTATTGTATTGGAGCGTCTTCATCGTCATTGCTTGCTGTAGATTTAAAGAATGGTGAAATATGCGCTAAATTTAACGAACGTTATTTTATGCCTATTATAACTATGCATTCCAATACAGGAACTTTAGCTTTAGTTGACAGTTTAAATTGCATAATTCAATTTTTAAAACTTAATGCTCCTGAATAAATACATCAACTCAAACTTTAATAGTAAATTCAAAAACCTTTTGAGAAAATTGCATATAGATGTTGATGGTCGTAAGAATGATTGCTTGTTTCCACTTACTATAGTCTTCCACAGAAGAAGTATACTTATTCTACCAGGCAATCTTTAAGAAATTATCTATATTTACCAAAAATAAATTTGGACAAATTTTTCAAAAGATCTTTAAATTTATCGGTACTATTCATTGGAATGTCTTACCTCCTGCTATTAAAGAATGTAAAATATTATCTATGTTTTGCAATTATCTGAAACAATATATAATTGCTTTTTATAACACAAATGACTTGTATTTAAAAAGAGTGCTTCTATACTAATTGATCATGAAAATTTGTTTAGTCCTTTCTAATATTCTACTTGTAATCTTCATAAATGAATTGTCATTTAAACAGGGCATCCTCTAGATTAGACTACTACTGTAAGATGCTCTGTCAAACTTATTATTATGTATTGTATCTCTGAACAAATTTCATGTTGATGACTTACTTTTTAATAAAAATGTATGTTTAAACAATTTGGTTATTTTTATTTAACAAATTGATAACATTTAACAGTTGTCTATACAGTTATAGATACACGGGTATGACGTCATTTTGATAAAAACTGAGTGGCCACGAGCTGGCAAATCAATGTTTGAAAACCGGAATTTTTTCCTTTCTTGTTGCTTAAATACGTCCAATGCTTCAACTAGGCATTCTTAATTTCTTTATTTGCCCATTCAGGGATGTATTCAGGTAAATATTCAAATAAATTCTCCGTTCTTTTGTCAATTAAACAACAAGGAATTTTCTTTGACCTCAATTGCGTGCGTCTGTCCTCTTATAGATCATAGCTCTCGACCAATGAAATTGTTCAAATTCTTCCGGCTATTATATAATGTTATAAATAAGACGTTCACCACATAGAAATGGAGAATGTCGACAACTCATTCATGGTGAGTCATGTGATAATATGGTGTTGTTGTAGATGAAGATTATTTTGATGAAATTATAGAGTGACTTTCTTTGGACATGCTTTTGAAAATTATAAATATAATTTATTATCATGGAAATAGGTTTTGTATGCTCTTAAAAATTCACATGTATTCATTATGGTCATTTGTTGAAAAATGTGAGAGATCATTTTGGTACGTTTATTATGTACAAATAAATTTAAAGAAACAAAATGTTATATGCTGTCAACAATTCCCGTTTGTAAAAACATCATCTTGATGTCATGACAACTGTGATGAAAATCAATAAAACTTTTACGTTTGTGATATAAGGAATTAAAAAAATTTTTTTAATTAATATTTTCTAGCTTAAAATATTGAAGACTATTAATTCTCCCTTTCTGTCTTCAATAATTAAAATAAATTTATCATCATGATGTTGGGGTTGATACAACGTTAAATGTACAGTTTCAATTTGTGACAATTGTAAACATAACAAGAATCATTTTACTTGTTGTAATTTAACCCTGGAGGCACAAAATTCATCTATCTTAGATCAAAGAGAGGCTAGTGGAACGCTTGCCATTTCAATGTCCCATATGCTTGTAAGTGATATATTTAATATGCTTGCTAAATGTTGCAGTCGTTTTTTATGTAATGTCCATTGCTTTATACTCTAGATGTTTTGAGGAAGAAGTTGATCGCTTCTTAGAGGATTTTTTGAGTATGTATTTTTAGAATTCTTTATCTTTTGAAAATTGATACAGTAGAACAGTCAGTAAGATTGATTTCTTTTCATTTCAGAGTGATCGTTGCTAGTTTTTTCCAATAAAATAAAAATGTTTTATTTCAATAAAATTTATTTAAGAATATCAACGTCTCATGTTCTAATTTGTTCTTTTTTCTGTCAAAAATAATTTTCTCCAATCATTGCAAGTGTACTTGATAAGATCTAGCCCATTTACTATCGGAGTCATGTCCTGTAAACTATCAAAGAAGGATTTCATGACTTCTTCCTCATCAATTTTTGATACTGCATCTTCAAAATACATCGCTACCCTTTCATCATTAGGCATCATCAAGCATTCGTGGCGTTTTTGTAAGGGAAGTTCAACGCGACAACCGTCACAGTCTTTTGCCACAAGCTCGTATATTTTAAAACCAATTTCAGTAGCATAGCACTTTAACAATTTATTCTGTATATTGCTTTGGCGTTCATCTAAAACATGGCTCTCTTCTTCAAATTCGAAGGACGATTCCTTAACTTTCTTTGCTTGCTCAATGTCTACTTTTAAAGCCATTCTCGTTTTAGTTAGACCAAAATTACCAAATAACTTTAACTCAATAAAATTGTAACGTGTTCTCTTTTTTTATATTTGCAAAAGAAACAAGAAAACGGATCTAATATTGCTTTAAGAATAGAAAACAATTGACAATTTTAATTAAGTTTTATCGTGTTTCAATTAATCATGTCATCCAATAGCAACCTTCGTTCATTTTATATCGTTTCCGGTTTACACGCGCGCGACCTGTTTACTTCCTAAGACTGGAAACTAATTGACACGGGTAAGAGCTCCGTTTACTTCCGTCAATGCTCCGCAAAGCAGGGCAGTACTGGAATCTAGAAGCAAGTAAATACAGAAAAAGCTTGTAATTTTCATTAAATGGATCGAGATGAGCTTTGAAAACGGTTAGCTAACACTTCCACAACCTATGTCTAGTCTTGCAAAAGCTAATTTAAGTAATTTTACTTTTTCCAAGAAACTATATATGCTAAGGCTAAAAAAGATCCGCTCAAGCTTTGTCTGGTCAAGTTGGATGATGAGGATCATACAGAGGATCATAATTCTTTGCCAAAGATTAGTATTAGCTTTCTCGTAGTTTTCTGTTTTATTAAACACCAAACCAAGATTGTTTAAAGAATCAGCAACATCAACATGATTTGGACCTAACAATCGTTTACGAATGTCGAGAGCTTTTTTGTAAAACTCTATGGCTTTGTCTGTTACTGTCACCAATGAAAGTACAACAATTACAACTATATGGGAACGTGTAGTGTTGTAATTTGGTCTGTTACTGTCGCCAATGAAAGTACAACAATTAAAACTATATGCCAGATAATCATTTCACTATAGATATTAAAGCTCAGCATTATTGTTATTTCATAAAAGAAATAAAAGATGTTTTTCGTTTTTGCACTGGCTTATGCAAACCTCGGAGAGGTTTTTTGGACCCTCGAGCTTGTGCAACCCTCGACCTTTGGTCTTGGGCTTGCACTGATCATCTCTCAAGTTCTCCCAAAGGTCTCCTCGATTTGTATAATCCTGTGCAAGCACAGTAAACATCTTTTATTTCTTAAATGAAACATTGAAACGTTTTTTAACAACGTGCAATGCACGTGATAGTTTGTAAATGTTTGTTTTGACGTCAAACTCAAACTAAGATTTTACGTATAATAATGTAGCACAGTTCTCATGCTTTGGATCAATATTTATAAATAGAATTAGATAATATATAATATAAACATATTTATTTTTTCAAGTGTTTTACTACCACAAATCACCCGTAACTTATTTACTAAATGTATGGAATTAAAGTTCTTTTACATGCTTAAATGAAGCAAGCATTTTGCAACATTTAGACAAAAAAAACATTAAATTAATTAAGTGTATATCATTTATGATTGAGTTGAAAACTGCAAAAACCATTGATTTTATTGAGAATTTGCATTCTGAAATGAATGACTGAAGTATATAACCAACGATGTTCACTTTTGATTTTATTTTATTATCTTGTGTTATGTTTACATACTACGAGGCTGTGGCTTAAAGCAAGATCAATCAATGGCTTAGTCATGATACTAGTTATGGTATTGCAAAATGCACTAGTAAATTTCAGACGATTTGCATTGTTTAAAAAATCACTTTTAACACTTGCAGCGAGTGCACATAGAAAACGGACAAACCATGAGTCTGATTCTGATGGCCAAAATCAGTCAGGTTGTCAATTCTCAATTCTCATCGTCATAATGTTGTCAAAATAAAGACGACCACAACATTAGTTATTCAGAATTTTAAAGTTTTGGTTCTTCTCGATCCAATCCTCCACCATTCACAATTGCTCCGCATACTTCCTTATAGTCACGTGATTAAAATATTGAAGAATGAAAAACTTCACTTTCTGTTTTCAATTTTTAAAATAAGATTTATCATTATAATGTTGATGGTAATACAACGTACAATATACAGCTATAGTTCTAACTTGTAACAATTGTACACAACAATAAACGTTTTACTGATAATTTTGAAGATCCATGTGCTTTAAACACTTTAATGTAACAGATTTTTCTGGTTCAAAGTTTGAATCATCTTATAAAAAACAGGTACGTATAGCGTACATTTTGTTGTCTTTTAATGACCAAGGTAAACATTGGAGTTTTTCAAAATAAACATGTTTCAACATCTCGTGTTGTCATCTTTAGTATTAGTGACAATATTATGTATATGATACAACATGTATGGTAGTAATGTGATACAGTGATAGTTTATTTAAATATAAGTAGATTATATACAGTGATATATTGACATGAACTAATGATAAATGTGCTTACAAGCTCTGCTCTAATTTAAAAATTTAAAATCTTAAGTTTTTAAGTCTCTCTTACTTTACAAAAGGGAAGAGATAACTGAGGACATAGTAATAAAATGAGGGCAACCTCTCGAGCATGTGCAAACCTCAATTTCCGGTCTCTGGCTTGCACTGATATGCTTTTGAGTTCTCCCAAAGTTCTCCTCTGTTTGCATAAGCCTGTGCAAAAACATGAAACATCTTTTATTTCTTAATTGCAAGATCAAGTTACATCGAGGCTTCATTTGATAAAATTTAAGGCTTTGGCTGCGTTTTCACTATATACCAGATTTACTTATCAAGATATCTTCATTTGGTTTCAGAGGTAACAGTTTGGAGTAAATGCTTATTAAGTTGATAGATTTTAGTCAATTTAATTGTGTTTTTTGCATTTAACGATATCACTGACTTTTAATACATAGAAAATTTAACCTGCAACAATAGCAATTCTATACAGTAAACAGGGCCTTATTTTAGGTCGCAAATATAAAGTTCGATGTTTGAAACGGGCGTAAAAATTTTGTTCAAAGACGTTAGATGATTAATTATGGTATGTCTAAAAGGTCATATGCACCTCGAGGCAATAAAAATTAAAAATTTTATCGTGACGTCAATTTCAGAATTGTTAAAGTATTTAAATTCGTATGTGTTTACTTTAACGTCAGTCTGGTCGCTTTAACTTTATAGAGAGGAAATGTAAGAACTGTGTATTTACTGGCGAACAGGTGAAGTAAGAAATTTACGGAAAAAATTATCAGGTCTTGTTAAAACCTTCGTAATGTGAAGGATTTTACTATACGCGACTAAAAAAATGGTTAAATTTAGAGTGGGAAATATGTTCAGAAAGGATGTGCATGACGTATGTACAGTATTGGTTAAATATTGAGGTTACACCATAAATGGAATGATATAAAGTTATAAAAAGAACATTGTATAACATATATGAACATTTATGTTGGACTATGAAGACTGACTACATTCTACAAAGATGAAAAGAATCAAATGCAAAAGAGGAGAATGGAAAAACATGATCCAGGTTTTATAGCTCGTAATTAGAGTTGACAAGTTTTAAATTTAGTTTGCATGAGTATGTGTTTATTGTGAAGGATCACTGTGGTCTATTTTTACAATTTGAAAAAAAATCAAAAAAATGATGATCAAACTAGGATTTTGTGATTAAATCTTTTAGTCTTTTTTTGTCATTATAAGTGCTGCAAGTAAATAGTTGGTTTTCACTCGTTATTTTTTTTTAAATGCATACTAAAATATTTCAGTTTCTAAAGAAAAATTACAACACAATAGTCTATTTTAAAAAGCATTCATTAAATTTCTCAGAGAAAAAAATGTCGCTAAGTGATTGCACGAAGCATAAAAACTTATGCGACCAACAAAAAAGCAAGAGACATCAAGTAACCGGAGTCAGATTGGAAAAGAAAAATTTTAAACTACGACGTTATTTGAAACTGAATCAAAGGTTTTACCAAAATCAAAGGAGACCACTCGAAAAAAATCTGCATGCTCATTCAACCATTTTAACCAAAGATACTGACGTTTGTAACCTTTGCAACTTTACTAACATATATTATTGAAAGTACTTAACAAAAAACGGAAAATGCCAAATGAGAAATTAATTTAACCTAGTGCAGAGAAGCCCATATTTCATGAAAGGAGCCTTTGTTAAAAGATATTATATCTTTTCTAACATGAAGTACGCCAACTCAATGTTTCCTGTTTCTTGTTAGCTATTTTCATTTTTATTCAGGGAGAAAGTTTTCCTTCTTGTTTCAATGTAATAAACCATATTTAATAATTTGTACTTTGCTTGAAGTTTTCTCTTATGCCAAAGAAGACAAGTACCTCCAAAGTTTGAACGCTTCTACCAAGGTATTTATATAAACAACTAATATTTGAAATACCATCGATCAATTTTCTATAAAAGCGATTGTGTTAAGTAGCGTAGTCATTTCTCAAGTTTAGTCACGCTATGAAAATTTCGGAACTTTATGATCATTTATTTCTTTGGAAACCTTTTGTTTTCATTGAGAGTTTTTCACTGATCATCAGAAAGTTTAATAAAATCAATTGTGTTTTTTTAATGTACACCGTGAATGTTTAACGACATCAAAACTCAATGTTCTAAAGCTATTCATCCGACATAACTATTTACTTAATAAAAACTTAAACTGTGTTTGCATTAGCCTGTACAATCGTGCGTATCTGAGCTACATGAATTATATCAATCAAAGATAATTTGCAAATGAATCATGAATACATGTTAGAGAAAAATTTTAAACTTTTTTCTTAAATTTATCTGTTTTGCATTACTATTATTTACAAAAGAACTAAAACATATTTTTTGTGTTTGTACTGTCTTATGCAAACCTTGAGACGTTAGTGAGAACTCTCTAGCTAGTGCAAACTGTCAACTTTCGGTGTAAAGCTTGCAATGACATTGTCTCCAGTTCTACCAAATATCACTTCCGTTTGCTTAACCCTATACAACAATTAAGCATCTTATATTTTCAAATCCCATCCTATACTCACTCTTCACAATCCTCTCGTTCGAATTTTCTTCGTGGGTGTACAAGAGGTTAGGTGTGACCTTTCCCTTACTAATTATCAATATACCAACAATTAATTTTTTGATTTTATCTTCCTGTCATCCATTAATATCCATTGATATTAGCCATTAATATCCATTTGTGTCCTTTATTGCAGACGCACAGACGGTCGTTGATATATATTTAAATTACGACTGTGAATTGGCTTTGTCGAATATCTTTCAAAGATTGATCAATGATTTGTCTAAAGTTGCCCAAGGACGTCAAGCTATTGAATTAGGAGCGACACCAGTAAGTTGAAGAATATGTTTCAAAATGTTTAATTCTCTACATTCTCTTGTTCATATCTATGCCACTCGAAAAGGACTGGAACGTAGTCTATTATTATGAAATGGACTGGGACATACTCTATAAAATAAAAAAACTGGAGCATAGTCTATCAACATGAAAAGGACTAGAACATGTTCCTAATATTTTGTGCTGACAATGTTGATTATAATACATCTTTCTATCACGTTTTTATATGAATAGTATCAATGTCGTCTTATTTTTATATGATTTTTCCAGGTTCAAGAACGCAGTGTTCGTATCAAAAGTCTGGAATGTCTCGTTTCTATTCTTAAATGTATGGTAGAATGGAGCAGGGATCTTTACTTTAAACCTGATTCTCAGGTGGACGATAATTTTGGTGAGTTTTAACATCTTTATGAAACTGAAGAAACTCGCATTGTACCCCTCTTTTGATATCGGCTACACTGACAATTTTTGTCTCCATCAAGATTCCATCTTTCTATACTCTGTATCCCCTATTTATCGAAGGTACTCCATTATTTTCTTATACACACGTTAATGTTCTTAATCGTAACTAGTTGTTCAACAATTGTAGTTAACCTCTCAGGATCTAAGTTATCCTTTAGTTATCTTTTTCACCCTTGCTGGTCTCGCGGTGGATCTAAACTATATCTTAATGTTTATAGTTACTCATTATTGACCCATGCTACCCTCAATGTTCTAGTCTATCTCTCAATAATCTATACTATCTTCCCGATGATATAAGTGAACTGAATTCATTATGAAATTTAAATATACGTAAATGTAAATAAGTATGCCCATTATTTAAGGAGTCTTTGCATTGAACTCCAGCAGTGCTGTGTAAAACCTCCTTAGGTTTGTATATTGAAGATTTAATAAATATTTGATAAAACTTTTACATCAATTTACACAACACTCAGAATCTTGGTGCTCCCACTAGTCAATCCTATCAGGTGTCTTCCGCATCCTATGCTGTGATGGAGAAAGTCTTAAGACCACAACGTTTTGACACCAATCCTAACGCTCAAGACGCTGCTAGATCGTGGGTGCACTGGTTTGCTACTTTCCAAAACTTTGTAGCTGCTATACCTAACGAAGAAGTGAACAAATTAAAGGTTCTAGTCAATTATGTTTCTGCCGACGTTTATCAACTTTTCTGTGAAGCGACAACCTACGAGGAAGCTATAGAATTGTTAAAAAATCTCTATGTTAAGGTTCCTAATGAGATATTTTCGCGACATAAGTTAGCTACTCGTAAACAACAATCTGGCGAGAGCCTGGATGAGTATTTGCAAGAATTAAAATCGCTAAGCAAAGATTGTAATTTTCGTAGCGTGACATCAAATCAGTATCGAGACGAAGCTGTACGAGACGCGTTTATAGCAGGTCTTCTTTCAACCAACATCCGCCAACGTCTTCTTGAGAATAAAACATTAGACCTTCAGACAGCTTTTGATCAAGCCCGAGCCTTAGATACAGCACAGAGAACTTCTGAAACTTATGCAGACGGAATTCCAATAACAGCGGCTGCTCTATCAAACAAGAACGGGGAGAATTCGTTTATTAATCAACGGGCATTCGAAAACCAAGATAAAACCGATCAATCTGACGGACATCAAGAGAACAACGGCATAGAAGAGTACGTTGCCGCCTCTTCTAGATCAGCGAAATGTTTCTTCTGCGGTAATCGACCACACCATCGTTCCGCATGCCCGGCTAAAGACGCCTATTGTTATAAATGTAAAAAGAAAGGACATTTCCAAGAGTATGTAAATCGGTCGCTCCTCAAGCCTCGTATATAGCATTAGCATCAACTAAACATACAGTAGCAAAGTCACTAAAGAAAGCCTGTATTGATGTCTTGATTAATGGAAAATCTTGCGAAGCTCTAATTGATTCGGGAAGTACACATAATTTTATACATCCTAAAGTTGCAAGTAATCTGGGATTGAACATTTATACAACTCAAGAGAAAGTAACAATGGCTGCATCCTCGTTTTCTTCTAAAATTCAAGGCTATTGTCTTGCCGATATTATACTTAAAGAGCGAGAGTATGCGAAAGTAAAACTGTTTGTCTTAACAAATTTATGTACGAACGTGATATTAGGACAAAATTGGCAGGAAAAACATGAAAGCATAATTATTGAGTATGGGGGAAAATCGCCCTCTTTAACGATATGTGGTTTATCAACTATAAATATAGGGCCACCGCCGTTGTTTCAATTCTTGTCTGAAGATTGTAGACCGGTAGCTGCAAAATCACGAAGATACAGTGCCGAAGACAGAGCGTTCATCGCAACGGAAGTGTCGAAATTGCTTGAAGAAGGGATTATTGAAGAAAGTGACTCTCCCTGGAGAGCCCAAGTCGTTGTAACCAAGAACGAAAGACAAAAGAAAAGGCTAGTAATCGATTACTCTGAAACAATTAATAAGTTTACTCAGTTGGACGCTTATCCGATGCCAAGAATAGATGATACAGTAAACGCAGTTGCACAATATAGTGTCTTTAGCACTGTAGATCTTAAAAGTGCATACCATCAAGTACCTATCAAAATAAAGAGAGAAAGTACACGGCTTTTGAAGCTAACCATCGACTTTATCAGTTCCGTAAAATCCCATTTGGTGTAACTAATGGGCGGCGGCCTTTCAACGATCAATGGATACTTTCATATCCGAAGAAGCTTTAGAAGATACTTTCGCGTATTTAGACAATATTACTATATGCGGTTACAATCAGGAGCATCATGATAAAAATTTGGAACTTTTTATGAAAGCAGCGAGGAAGCGTAACCTAACATTTAATGAAAGCAAGTGCGTTTTTTCGGTAACTTCAATTAGTATACTGGAAGTGTTGTATCTCAAGGAGAGATTAAGCCAGATCCGGAGACTAAAACCTTTGCGGGAGCTGCCAGCCCCACGTGATGCAAAAGCTCAAAAGCGTGTCATCGGTTTGTTTTCATATTACTCCCAATGGATTAAAGATTTTTCAACTAAAATTAGACCTTTGTCTCACAATTTAGCTTTTCCATTATCAAATGATGCGTTGCAAGCGTTTGATTTACTGAAAATGATATTGAGAATGCTGTAGTAGGATCAATTGATGAATCTTATCCTTTCCAAATAGAGACCGATGCATCAGAATTTGCACTTTCAGCGACATTAAATCAACAAGGACGACCAGTAGCATTCTTCTCAAGAGCACTAAATGGTTCAGAACTAAAACACTCGTCAGTAGAAAGGAAGCAGCTGCTATCGTGGAGGCCGTTCGTAGGTGGAAACATTATCTAACAGGTAAACATTTCAAACTAGTAACGGATCAGAGGTCAGTAGCTTATATGTTCAATTTGAAACGTCATGGTAAGATTAAGAACGATAAAATAATGCGGTGGAGATTGGAACTTTCTATGTATGATTTTGACATAGTATATAGAACAGGAGAAGAAAATATACCAGCGGATACCTTATCGAGAGTGAAGGTTATGTCGCTTACACTGGATAAACTTTTCGAACTTCATAAAGCACTGTGTCATCCTGGAGTATCTCGCATGAGTCATTTTGTAAAAAGCCGAAATTTACCATTTTCGATAGAAGAAATTAAGCGCATGACCGAATCATGTAGAGACTGCCGAGAATGTAAACCCCAATACTATCGACCTGCACAGTCACATCTGATAAAAGCAACACAGCCGTTTGAAAGACTGAACCTAGATTTTAAAGGTCCGCTGCCTAGTACGGACAAGAAACGATATATATTGACTATCATAGATGAGTATTCTAGATTCCCATTTGCGTTCCCATGTGAAGATGTTAGCGCTCGGACTATTGTTGCTTGTCTATCAGAATTATTCTCGGTTTTTGGTATGCCTACGTACATTCATTCTGACCGAGGGTCAGGATTTATGAGTGCTGAACTAAAGAGTTTTCTCTTACAGAAGGGTATTTCAAGTAGTAGAACAACTAGTTATAATCCTGCAGGAAATGGCCAAGTAGAAAAATTCAATGGAACGTTGTGGAAAACAGTTTGCCTCGCTTTACGATCGAAAAATCTACCCATTAACCACTGGCAAGAGGTGATGCTGGATGCACTCCATTCGATTAGGTCTTTGTTATGTACGGCTACAAACGCTACTCCTCATGAACGATTATTTTCTTTTCAACGTAAGTCAACGAGCGGGGTGTCTGTCCCTTCATGGTTAGCTACACCAGGAAAGGTTCTACTAAAACGTCAAGCGAAATTCAAAGTTTGAACCATTAGTGGACGAAGTACATCTAATACAAGCAAACCCTCAATATGCTCACATTCGACACGCTGATGGAAGAGAGGATACCGTATCAACAAAATACTTAGCACCTCAAGGAGACTTAGGATTTCAAGACGGTACAACAACTTCTGCCCCTCCAACAGAAGTTCAAGACACTACAATACGTCCCAAAGAAGACGCAAAGATAGAGATATCTACGCCAAAGGAAGAAGCGAGAGGAACAAATTCATATGATGAGAGTGTTGAACAGCAGTCGTCGCAATTACGACGTTCGGAAAGAAGAAGAAGAGCACCAGATCGATTAACTTATGATTAAAATAAAATAAAACAGAACGAATCAACTAACATTTATTAAAGTCATTCTATTACCTTGAGTTAGTTAAGGACAATTATATAAAATTTAGCTACATATATGTTTAGGAATTTTTGTTGTTAGGTGAATGAACTGAATTCATTATGAAATTTAAATATACGTAAATGTAAATAAGTATGCCCATTATTTAAGGAGTCTTTGCATTGAACTCCAGCAGTGCTGTGTAAAACCTCCTTAGGTTTGTATATTGAAGATTTAATAAATATTTGATAAAACTTTTACATCAATAAGCTATCTGTCAATGATCTATGCTAACCTCTTAATGATCCATGCGATCCCTTATTGATCTCCAAATCATCATAGTTATTCCTCAATACTTCTGTTTAATCTCTTCCATATAAATTTCCTGACAGATCTGGTTGATGGTGCACCAACAATTTCTCGAAAATAGTACAAAAGCCATCGATAATGCTGAAGAATTTGAGGGTTTTAAACAGAAGAAGGAGACGAAAGAAAAGGGAATTCAATTGTAAGTTTGGTCAACTATTTTGCTTATCTTCTGTACTTTTATTCAATTTTACGATTTACTTTAAGATTTAACAAGAATCCATCAAAAGGTATAAAATTCCTTCAATCTGAAGGTCTCCTTGGTGAGACAGCAACCGAAGTCGCTCAGTTCTTACACACTGATGATACACTAGACAAGGTGATGATCATTTTAGTCCATCTATATCCCTTGCAATCCTTATGTTTCATTTCACATGATGTTGTCTTCTTTCAGTAAAGTTTTCATTTTGTCACATTTGCGCGCTATCTTTGAGCAATTTGTAGAAACATTAAATGTTGCTATGAATTTTGACCCAGTGTTGCGTTTTATGGTTTTAGACTATGATTGGTGAGCTGATTGGTGATCCAGGACAGTAAGTATGTTTTTTCACATCTCCCTCTCGTGACAATCACGTGAAAATCACGTGAAGACGTTTGATTCTCATCTTAAGTATTTCAACATAAATTGAGTCAAGAAAAGTTGATTATGTTAATTTGGCATGAAGCCCATGGATGCTTTGCTCATGATACATGAAATAGTAAATCAGAAAATTTAATCGTAAAATCAAGAATGTTTAAAATATGTTTAAGGTTGCATTAAACTCCGTGTAAAAGGACAAAAGCTGTTTGAAACTAAGCATTATCTTCAAATCTCTTGGTTATTTTGTCCATAAAAAACAAAACAATTTTTTAATGCTCAAAATTTCTCTATCCAGTGAATAGTATCGACAGAATTCAGTAAAATTTGCTACTGTTCAAAATAAGCAAACAATAGTAGACTTAGATATATTGTTCGTCATGTCCTCAACTGTTCTTCATATCCTCAACTGTTCCTCGTGTCTTCCTATACTTCTTAGATATGAACGGGAGATAATGTACGCCTATATAGATCAGTTGGATTTCACTGATACCAATCTTGTGCAAGCTCTGCGATTGTTCTTACATAACTTCTGGCTTCCCGGTGAGGCGCAAAAGATCGATCGACTCATGGAGAAGTTTGCGAGTAGATTCTGTGAAACGAACCCAAAGTAAGGACATGATTTGTGTCTTGTTATCTGTTGTTTTACATCTCGCATTGCATGCTGGTTAGTGAAACCTACGAAATGACTTTTGTCTATGAACCATGTGTTAATTTTTTTTTCATTTAACATCAACAATAATTTAGGATTAGTTTTTGACGATTTTTGGGTTTTTTTAAGTATTTTCTCATCGAACTTTTATTATTCAAGTTTTGAGGACTGCAATCTGCTGTTAGATAGATGTAAAGTGAGTTGCTTGGACTGGGAGTATTGTTACATGTTTGTAGATGTAGATCGTCCATGATTGTAGAGTCCTGAGAAGGACTGTTGTTGTTGATGTTGACTGACGTTTCTACAAACTTACTCATGTACAAAAATGTCTAGATATAGCTAGGTTAGACTGTCCATGATAAACTTTTATTTTATATTTATCATTTATATTTTTGTGACGATGTGTTTGCTAGTGCAAACGCTGCCTACGTTCTGGCTTATTCTATCATCATGTTGACTACTCATCTACATAGTTCACAGGTTACACGGACCTACATCATTTGCAATGGTTTTCTATAAAAGTGACTTTATGTCTAAGATCACGTGACTCCATTGTGGTCACGCGAGATTTTCATGGCGTTGATATGGAGCCTTCATTGGAATCACGTGAAAAATTAGCCTTTTGATGCGACATCGTAATCACGTGAAATTTTTTTCAAACGGAAGATAACGAAAGAGCAGTACATTAAAATGAATCGTGGTATAAATGACAGTAAAGATCTTCCATCTGAATATCTTGAAACAATTTATGATGATATTGCACAGAATGAAATCAAGATGAAACATACACCAAAAGTGAACAGTAGATACGATGCTACATGAATGTATTGGAACATTAATACGAGAATCAAGGCTTAACTGAAAAAATTGTACAGATGCTAAGTAAAGGTCTTGACTGCGAAGTGTAGAGTCTTAGCTCTGAGATGAAGGTGAAGGTCTTGAGATGGAAGTGTTGGTCTTGAGATGGGTGTAGGAAAGGGGCTTATAATGGATATTGTGATGTTCGGTGTTGGTCTTAAGAGAACTCCAATGCATTTTCATGAAAGTAAAGAGATTTTTTATTGTGCTTCCACTTTACAGATTTACAAAGTGAGAAACATCGTCGTATGTTGTATTCTATGGAAATGGAGCAGATGGCGGAAAACGCCAAAACACAAATGGAAGACGTGAGTCATATTCAGACGGATTTTGTCACGGCGACACAGATTGGTCACGTGAAGACAATGTCCAAGGTACGGGGAGGGGGGGTGGAGTCTGGAGGATAATGTTTGTGGTGTATGTAAGGATTGAGTAACGAAGCGTTAATTGTGATGTCAACTTATACGGACAGTGCAAAATACGGCGGCGTAGATTTCAAAACATGATGACATTCGTCTTAATCTTGTTAAAGAAAAGACTTAGATTTTATGTAATGAATGTTTGCGATGACGAAGAGTAAATTTGTTTGATAATCTAATATTTTAGCTGACCAATGAATGATTTGACTTGATTTTCTATTGAGATAATCCACTACCTAAGCTAAATCTGCTTCTTACAATCGGCCCCAGTCCCCATTGTTGACCATTTTGTTTTGTATGTTTAAGGTTGCATGGAGTCCGTTTCTTGCCGCGTTCAGCGTCAATCTACAAGACAACGACGATCCTTTTGTTGCTTCATTTTGTGGAAGGTTTACGTCAAGTCTCGGAAGTTGAGCTTTCCAATCCTACAATGATACGTATGTTTAGTCTGCAGAAGATCGTAAGATTGCTTATTACAATATGGGTCGTATTCGACTGCAATGGTCACGAATATGGGCTGTATTGGGAGATCATTTTAACAAGGTTAGCGATTATTAAAGACTAAGCTTGTATCTTGATATTATGGATAATAACATCACGTTGTTGTGATGTACTCAGGTATAGTAACAAAACAATCATTGTCTTCAATGATCTATCAACTAAACTATCCGATCAACCGTGAACTATGATGATATTTTAAAACACAGTTCTAGTTTCTTTCGTATCTCAAGTATAAAAACAAGATAATCAATGCCTTCATCACCAATGTTCTACCAACTATAGTACTTCTCCATCTTAAATAATTTATGTGCCATTTTAGTGTGGTTGTAACCCTAATGAAGAAGTTGCGTTCTTCTGTGTCGACTCTTTGCGACAATTATCCATTAAATTCTTGGAAAAGGGGGAATCGCCAATTTTTCCGATTTCAAAAGGATTTTCTCCGACCCTTTGAATACATAGTGAAGAAAAACAGGTAAGTTTATGCAGGAGTCAATTCTGTCAGAAAATGTAAAGTGAAAATGTAAAGTTTGAAGACACACGTCTACACTACAATACAACGAAAGACATAAATGAAGAAATATTTCATTATAAAACTGGGAATTTACGTTGTGGAACGATGAAATGAGTGTTGAAATATAGAAATAGTCGTTTTGGGTTATATTTGGTGAGTAAAATTTTATAAAACATTGATTTTAAAACATTATTTAGCTACTCGTTATATTGTTTCATGTTTTGTAAATGATGATCTTCCAGGTTAATAAAGTCCTGAGAAGGACTGTTTTTGTTGTTGTTGACTGACGTTTCGACAACCTTAGCGGTAGTCATCTTCTGAGTCAAATGACAACCGCTAAGGTTGTAGAAACGTTAGTCTACAACAACAAAAACAGTCCTTCTCAGGATAAAACCAAGCTGGACGATCGACATTTACAAACATGTAACGATACTCCCGGGTTCAAACCGTTTACTTCGTTATATTGTATCACAGATTTTACTAACGTTTTATATTTGAACTTTGATAAAAGTTTTGCAGTTGGCCGTTGATTTATTTAATTTTAAAGTTTTGTAACTTATTTTTGTACCGTTATTTTTCTTGGTTTTTAGTTTGAAGTTCAAATAAAGGCTTCAAGATTAAAACCAAAGATTCGATCTCCATTAAAAGTAAGTCAGAGTATTTACAGCATTATATTCTAAATAAATATCTTTTTAAAAATGGCTTCACTACCTGATAAACTGAAGATTGAGGAAAATGGATTTCGTTTAAGTAAACTTTTGATAAATAAAGGAACCCAAGCCTTAAAAACAACATTGCAAATCATTTTAATCCATCATTCATCAAACTTAAAATATAAACTTAGTGATCTTTTTACAAAGAGTAAATTGACTTTACTAAAAAAGAAAAAAGTCATCAATGGAATGCAATGGAACCTTCTTTATCCTTCAATTGGTTCACTTGACATTGAAAACTTTGATATTTCATTATTGACTGTCTTATTGCGTAACATATGTGGTCTATAAGCGCCACATGGTGGATGGGATAATCTTCCTTCCTCTTCAGATACTTCAATCTCAGCAAATATTGCAAGAATAAAGTTCTATCGAAACAAAGTGTACGGTCACATAACTACAACTAGTGTAGATGACAGTGAGTTTGAGTGCTTGTGGCAGGAAATTTCAAAAGCATTGTTTGGTCTGGGTATTCAACAAACTGAAATAGATGAATTAAAGAAAGCTCCCCTCACTACCGATGAGGCAACTTATATTGAAATGTTAAAAGAATGGTATGAAAAAGAACGACAGTTAATCGATGTCACTGAAAAAACTAAAGACGTTGTAAAAGAATTAAAAAATATTTTGAAGTTATGGAAAAAAAAGATTTTGAAGAAATAAAAAATGAAATAGAGAAAATGATAGAAAGCATGTCAAAAATATTGATGTTGCAGAAACGAAACAAGAGATGGCTACAAAAGCTGATGTAACCAGAATGGGAGAAATGAAACCGGGCAAAATATGCTCAGACCTCAAGAAGCTTGGTGAGTGTAAGTTTAATGGTCTAATTTTCCTCAAAAAGGAAGGTTTCTCGATAGGGAAAACCCTGACACAATAGACACATGACAGACAAATTGTTTCTCGCAAATAAATCATCATATGCTTAATAAAATAATTAAAAGCTGCATTTAACCATTTTCAATTCGGTAAAATGAAAACAATACTGACTATCGTTTTGAAGATCGCAAATACCATGGTGAATGGTAAAAGTAATTCACTATGGTTTTTGTGATCTTCAAACAATTTTCAGATTTGTCACCACAACAAAGTCTCTATTTTAAAACTAATAATGTTGCAAGAGAATGAGAAAAAGCATGAGGTAAAGTTTGAGTTTGCAGAAATAAAGATAACGAGGCACCCTTTACCAAGGTGAATAAGAGAAACAGTACGTGTCTGATAATTTAGAGTTAAAGCATAAAATGCGTATGAAACGAAAATTTAGCAACCTGTGTTATACTTATATTCAAAAGACATTTTAATATGATAATGGACTATCTGTACTAGTTTATGCATATCACTTTTCATTCTCGAGATATTGAAGTTTTTATTATGTCCGATTTATCTGATGTCACATTGAATAATGAGAACTAGATGTATTAAATATATTTGCTGATACAATATTTTAGCATGGCGGAGTTTAATTATTTGTGATCTGTTAATGTTACAAATTACTGCTTTCCATTATCAACCTAAAGTTGTCAGGAAAATTGAGGGTATTTGAAACATTGCAGCGACTCATTTTTTATGTAATATTATGCCACAAGTTAGATAAATTCGTAGTTGCAAGGACTTCAGTATTTTCAGAATGAAAAAAGTCATGCAGAAAAGGTTTTAGAAAGCACTCTGTCATTTCGAAAGTTCTGGTCAATACAGATATAATTTAACTAACAAAATTTTTGTTTCATTGGCACTTAGAGATGTCCAAACAAGGTTTGAGAGAATAATTGTTGAGATCGAACTTTAATGTTAATGTTTGGCAACAAACATAAGATAGTCTATTTAAAAGACGAGTGTTGAGAATAAAAAGAAAAATTGAATGAAACTATTTTGTTATCTTTTGGTGCAAAAAATTTTTTGACTCTAAAAAATATATGCTCTCAAAATTTTAATTTAATATTTTCGGAAAACGCAAGGTTACTCCTTAAGAAAAATTCATGAAATTACTGCAGAGAGAAGTTTTTGTGATTAATTGTTTGGTATAAGCTAACCTCGAATGTTACCTGTTAAAAAATTTATGAAATGTCTAATGATTGTTGATACGTTTTTTTAAAATTGTACGGTAGCAGTATCCTTTCTTAATTGGCAAAATTGAGGTTTTTTAATGTATTTATTTTGTTTCTTTGACCCTTGATTATAATTTTTTTATCTAGAAGAGTTGAAATACATTGGTGAATCAACGAAACATAGAGAATTGTTTTAAAATTGATTGAATATGGGCGCAATCCCAGTGTCGAGGTTAAACTGGTAGGCAATGTACGTGTAATATTTTCAGAAGAGTTTTGCATTGGCAAAGGAAGCGGTGTAACCCGTGTTTATCTTGGACTGGGTAAGGATGGTTACGGTAAAGCAGTGAAACGAATACATCGAGATAGCTTTAAACAGCTTGCACGGCAAGAAAAGAAAATTTTGAATGATATTAAAGCAAAAAAGTCGAAATATGTTGTGAATTATTTCGACTTAGACGAAGATAATAGAACGGATTATGTTTATTTGATCTTAGACTTATGTGAAGAATCACTGGTGAAGTTTGTGAAAGATTCTACTTTGCACGATCTTCAAAAAGCTCTTCCTGATATTCTTAGACAAATTTTATAAGGATTAGCTGATCTTCATAGCGGCCCAAATCCTATTCTACATCGGGATTTGAAGCCTTCCAATGTTCTGCGAGACTCAAAAAGTCAATTTCTGATAGCTGACTTTGGCATAAGTCGAATGATAATGAATGACACGACAACATATAAAAGCAATTCGTCCATGGGAACCCAGCATTGGATAGCTCCTGAATCATATTGCGAAGATGATGATTCAGTAAATGAAGCGCGTTACAAAATACAGTCTGATGTATATGTAAGTGTAGGAATGTAAACATTTGTAAGTTGTAATGAAACTCCATTTTGTGAAATTGCATTTTGATGTAGCGCTTTTTATTATTTTAGAATGCAGGGATGGTAGCTTATTATGTAACAACAAAAGGAAAGCATCCTTTTGGAACTAAGCCCGACGGACTGAACAACATGCTGAATGGAAACCCTGTTGGTTTGGATGAAATCGAGGATGAAACACTAAAGGACCTTCTGTCGTGGATGTTAAATCTAAAACCTGAAGACAGACCATATTCTAACGAAGCATTAAAACACCCATTTCTCATGTCAGATGATGAGAAGTTTGAAATGTTATGTGAAGTTGGGAATCTTCCTCAGATTAAGACAAATGATCTCCTGTCAAGTGTCGTTCAACAATTGAATAGCGAATGCGTACTTTGGAAAAGTCAAATTAATTGGGATGTCTATGATTATTTTCGCACGTACGAGAGAAATGGAAAAATCAATAAGGTCCGTTATACATCTTCATGGGCAGAATGCTTAAGGCTCATTCGAAATACTCGCCAGCATTGGAACGATCGACCACGAACTCTACCACAACCAGAACCATTTTATATAATTGGCGATTACAGTGCGTATTTTCTCCGAACATTTCCTAATCTCCCTGTTCGGGTACATGCTGCTGTCAGGTCAAATGAAGAATTGAAAAACAAACCAGAACTTAAGAACTTTTTTTATTTTAATGAAAGCGAACTACATCAATAAACATTTAGATACAACAGAACCTGTTAGGGGTGAAAAAAGTAGCTATTAAGAAGTCATTGATACTGTAAAGGTCTTATTTTACAGATATAAAGAAAAACAGTTTCCACGACGTATTTAGATGATATTTCACCACATTTCTGCTGAATCTATAGCCTGTGGTATTCATTGACGCAATGTAATATACCTGATTATTTAATTTTTACTGTAAATTGTTTTGGAAAAAGGCTGAAGGCGAATATGACATGAAAAGTTAACTTTTATGTTTGGCTGCACTGATAAATTTTGCACTACATTCATCCAACATACTAAACTTGTATACGATAAAAAATTGTATTTCTGAAATTATTATAATTACTAAAAGTTTGGCATTGATGTTTTGAGCTCTTGGGAGTTCTTTATCGTATAAACCTGACCATCAGGAGTTGTGCATAATTCTATAAGTAGAATCTTTTATGTTTTACTATCTCACATTACGTAGCTGAACCACATAAAATAGTTGATTAAAAAACATTTTCATGAGATTGAGTGATTAACAGCATTTCGTCTAATAATTTGTAAATGGACTCAATAATGTTTTAATTAGTTTTATAGAAAAATA